AAGGAACTGTTCAAATGTCGTCAATGGTTGTGTTAGCATGAAATCACAAGTCATCGTGACCGAGGTTTTCAAACTGCTGATCATATCCAATTATGTGCTTTTTTACAGGAACTGTAACTAAGGTCAGCTCAGTGGCAGTATTAATCACAGGTGGATTCTATGGGTGTTGAGCAAATATGAATGTGCCTGAGCGGGCGTCTGCAACGGGGACTGATTAGCCGCCCAACCAGAAGAGTATGCTCAGAAACATGTAGCTGTCCATCATATTCATATATATATATATATATATATATATATATTATAATGATGATGATGATATTGATGATGGACTCTCTCGTCGTTTTCGACCTATGAGTGTCTTTCAGTTCAGTTTTTATGTTTCTGTTTCGTATGAGACAACAGTCTTGCACGGGATTTGCAAACAAGTCCTCAAGAGGGACATGCTGAAGGGTTGCACTTCATACGGGCTGAAGGGTTGCACTTCATATGGGAGATTTAGTGTTAATTCTTAATCCTCTCAGATGATTGAGGCGATTCTTTTCAAAGTTAGTTATACGTCGGTAGCAGGTAATTCTCCAGTTTGCTTGCTTTTCAACAGCATAGGGATGTTTGCAGCAATTAATTTGTATTTAAGTTTATCCTTGAAGCGTAACCAAGGACGACCTACGTTACGCTTACCTGAAAAAGTTGGCTATACATGTGGATTTTTGGCATCCGATCATCACTCATTCTGATGACATGACCAACCTATTTGAACTGTGATTGCATCAGAAAGGATTCAATACCACCGACACTACATTTGATAAGAAGGTCAACGTTAGATATTTTGTCCTGCCACATATAACTACATATTGAACGAAGACAGCGTTTATGAAAAGCATCAAGTTAATTGATGCGTGTCATTTACGGCGTCCACGATTCATACCCATAACGAAGTGTGGTGAGAATGACTGCTCGATAGACACTGATTTTCGTTTTCAGTGAAATCCCACAAACATCCCATAGGCGATGCTTATGTTTCACAAAGGCATTGGTTGCCTTTGATATTCGGTTAACTATTTTGTCATCCAAAGAGGCACTTGAAATATATAAATGCAGGTTCCGTATAGGATACAGGTTCGATTCCTGTCAGAGGACGAATATTTTCTATGAAGATTTCTCGGACATTCAGGCCGGTAAATGTTGTTAATAAATAAGAGCATTTACTTTAAAAAATTGCATCTATAAAAAGAATGTATAGACAAAAATAATTGTCGGATTTTGTCCATTTCATAGTGTGACGTCATTTCTTTACATTTGATACGCCATGAGCAGATATGAATGTACGTGAGAATCATGGAATATTGAAGTTTAAAGACAGTAAAATCAACCTTGCTAACCGAACGCTCATCTGTGGCCGAATCGGTTAAGACACGTCAGGCTATATGACGGTTCCGTATAGGATACAGGTTCGATTCCTGTCGGAGGACGAATATTTTCTATGAAAATTTCTCGGACATTCAGGCCAGTAAATGTTGTTTAATACTGATTATTATAAGCAGAGCATTTGCTTAGATATTTGTATCTATAAAAAGAATGTATAAACATAAAAATGTCTTTATATATATGTTGAAACTTGACTAAGGTATGGAATAATAATGCAACACAAAATGTACTTAGAACAAAATGTATTGAAACAAGAAAGTGTACACAATATTTACATATAGTCTTCTGTATATTCCTGGTAAGACCGTTCCTGGAGAATGTGTTGACTGAGTCGCAGTCGGGCAGAGTCTCTGGTTGAATCTCTTGATTCCTCCCTCTCTTCCCGGTACCAACCATATTTATATGGTCGGTACTCCACTATGCAAATTAGGTGGATCCTATCACAACAATATATATATAAAATTCGGCTCACTGAAACCTAAAATGTATTTATTTACTTTTTTTTACAGTGAGGTCCATCCTGTACAAGGTCTGAGGTGGGGCACTCGAGGTAGAGGTTTACAGCGTAAGTGGCAATTTATGTTGGCGATCATGGCCCTCCATAATTTCCTTTTTTCTCTCTTAATTCCATTGTTCTGCGTAACATTTACACAAGCACGTTAATCAGCTTATGCGTTGCACTTTTCTGTCCTTCTTGCTTTCAAAATGTCTAACTAGTGCCACATTTTCCAATACTTATTTCCACAATACGTGACCAAGAAATTTCAACGGTCTGTTCCTTTAACATAAATGTTCAGTTTGCATTTTCTCTAAAACATCGTTGTTGCTCATATGTGCAGTCAAAATTATTCTCAGAATACTTCTGTAGAACATATATATATATATATATATATAACGTCAGACAGACTGTTTCGCTGTTTCACAGCTCATCAGTGTGGCTAGACATCCGGTTGCCTCTAGCCAGGATCGAAACCCGACTGAATTGGTGTCAGTCGGAGATACTAGCCATTAAGCCGTCGGGGCACGGTAGGGAGGAAAATGGATTTTTTAGCGTATTTATTTTTAGAACTCAATTCGCATCTGCCAAGAGTCTCGCTATATAGCTATAATAGTCACTGTTTACCAACCCACACCTCGTTCCCAGAGAGCTCAACTGAAATTGATATTTCAGGAGCCAATATAACGTCATCCACAGACAGACTGTTTCACAGCTCATCAGTATGGCTAGACATCCGGTTGCCTCTAGCCAGGATCGAAACCCGACTGAATTGGTGTCACGCACGGTAGGGATGAAAGTGATATAGATATATATTGCTCCAGATCTCTTTTTTTATCTGTGAGGAGTCCACCATTCACTGCCATATACGAGGAGTTCAGTTCAACTCTTTTCTTCGTTTCTATTGCTTCAAGTCACTTCTTCATCTGTGAGGAGATTTTCCAGCATTCACTGCCATATAGGTGGACTGATATTACACAACAGCTCTCTTTTCTTCGTTTCTATTGCATTCACTGCCATATAGGAAGAGCAATATTACATAACATAACACTGCAGTTATATATATATATATATATATTGTAATTAATATTTCCTGTTTCTTATTACTTTGCTTAGCTTTTGGAAGACAGCTTTTTCTATCTCAGTGCGACTTCAGCAGCTTAATTTCTCCATAAGTTAGCCGTTTTCTTTAATGATTTAAACGTTTCACGGTTGATTTAGATCTTGCTTTGAGACAGGTGGATTTCTTTTACACTTCAGAGAGGAGATTTATAGTCCAGTGAGCAGGAGGGTTTTTATATTTATATTCGGAATACAGCTATGAATACACTTTCGAGAACTTTACCCTTTATTAAAGGACATAATTTCTGATACGGAAAATGTTGAAATTATTACTGGGTATAACTAATGCATTGTATAAACTGTTATGTCGAAGATCTTTCTCATGTTCATAAATACATTCATATATATGTTCAGGTCTAAGTATTTATATATGTTTATCTATCTGTGTGTGTGTGTCGTCGTTCTGTTGTTCTGGGAAATGTGACCCTTTCTTCGTCTTCATATCCATTCTTTGGTTATTTTTGCGACAGGAACTGATTCTTATACGAAGTTGCAAAGCACAACGCTACCGCGGGGCAGGTAATCGTCTCAGGAGGGTTTTGACATGGTAACACGTCTCCACACGTTTGGCTGTAGATTACAATCAGGAATAATGGGGGAAATGAAACGAAAGTAAGGAGAAGTGAAGGAAAATGAAGGAAAACAAAGAGAGTGAGTGACGTAAAGAAGTAAACACACAACGGATTAAAAGAAAAAAGAAAAAGAATAAAAAAAGAAAAAGAATAAAAAAGAAAAGGATAAAAAGAAAAAGAATAAAAAGGAAACGAATAAAAAAAGAAAAAAGAAAAAGAATAAAAGAGAAAAAGAATAAAAAAAGAAAAAGAATAAAAAAGAAAAAGAAAAAAAAGAAAAAGAATAAAAATAAAAAGAAAGAAAAACAAGAAGCGAGAATAAAGCGTATAATGTAAGAAAAATGAAAGCAAAAACAATTTGTGAAAAAACACGGAAAATGTACTAAAAGAAAGAAGGAAAGAATGGATTAGCAGAAAGAAAGAAAGAAAGAGAAAATGAATACGTACAAATAAATTATTGATTAGTAAAAAGAAAGAAAGAAAAAGAAAGAATGGATTAGTAGAAAGAAATACAGAAAGAAAGAAAGAAAGAAATGAAGTAGTAGAAATAAATAATGGATTAGTAGAAAAAAAAGAAAACATGGATTAAATGAAAGAAAGAGGAAATGGAAAAGAATAATAGAAAGAAGGAAGTAAAAAGATTGAATTAATAGATTAATAGAAAAAATGAAAGAAAATGGATTGGTAGGAATAAATAATGGATTAGTAGAAAGAAAGAGAATACAAGAAAAGGATTAGAAGAAAATAAATAATGTATAACTAGAAAGAAAGAAAGAAAGAAAGAAAGAAAGAAAGAAAGAAAGAAAGAAAGAAGTAATGGATTAGTAGAAAGAAATAAAGAAAGAAAAAATAGAAAATAGATTAGTAGAATCGAATAATGGATTAGTAGAAACAAAGAAAGAAAGAAAGAAAGAAGTAATGGATTAGTAGAAAGAAATAAAGAAAGAAAAAGAGAAAATAGATTAGTAGAATCGAATAATGGATTAGTAGAAACAAAGAAAGAAAGAAAGAAAGAAAAAAGAAAGAAGTAATGGATTAGTAGAAAGAAATAAAAGAAAAAAGAGAAAATAGATTAGTAGAATCGAATAATAGATTAGTAGAAACAAAGAAAGAAAGAAAGAAAGAAAGAAGTAATGGATTAGTAGAAAGAAATAAAGAAAGAAAAAGAGAAAATAGATTAGTAGAATCGAATAATGGATTAGTAGAAAGAAAGAAAGAGGAAATAGATTAGTAGAATGGAATAATGGATTAGTAGAAAGAAATAAAGAATGAAAAAAGAGGAAATAGATTAGTAGAATGGATTAGTAGAAAGAAATAAAGAAAAAAATGAATGGATTAGTAAAAAGAAAGGAAAAGGAAATGGATTAGCAGAAATATATAATGGATTAGTAGAAAGAAAGAAAGAAAGAAAGAAAGAAAGAAAGTAAATGCCCAAGAAGGAGATTAAAAAAGTAAAATATATAGATTAATAGAAAGTTCGGCTTGGTTGAAAAATAAAGAATTAAAGGAATTATCTTAGAAAGAAAAACACAAAGAAAGAAAGAAAATAGGAAGGAAAAAAAATAGAAATAAATAAATGAAGAAAGAAAAAAGAATGAAAGAAAAAAGAAAGAAAGAATTGAAATATAAAAGAACATACTAGAAGAAAAAGTACTAACTGAATGAAGAAAAGAAAGAACAATGAAGATTATAATGAATGAAGAAATAAAGATGGATAAGTAAAAAGAAACGAATGAAAGGAAAACTAAAAAGAAATAAAGGGATTAAAAAGCAAGAAAGAGATCACAAAACACGACAACCTTCCAAAAGAAAGAAAGAGTGTATGAATTCAAAGAACAAAGAAATGTAGAGAGAAAGAAAAAAAACAAAGGATGAATTAGTCTGAAGAAAAATAAAAAAAATGAAAAAAAAATGAGGAAACGAAAGAAGGAATGAAAAGAAGGAAAAGAAAGAAATGGAGACAAAAGGAAAAAAACTTAGGTAGGTTCGTTTTTTTCTGTTGTAATCGATAAATAATACAACATAATTTCCTTTCTGCTCTATAGAAAAGCTGGTGTTTCCTGTACATAAAATGTATCTCCATGAAGTTTGCACGGTTCCTAGTCATTAAAAATTCCCCCCATTCAGGCTTACTTAATAAAATACACCTCAAGAGTTGTTAATCAAATTGCAATGATTATATATATATATATATATATATATATATATATATATATATAGGTAATTATACTCGTTTCGAAAAACCTTCGAATTTCTGATTTGCCAATAATCAAATCAATCACGAAGGAAAAAAGGGTTTAAAAAAAGAAAGAGCTAGAAACATGAAAGTCTGTCGAAAAAAATCGCACAGATACAGGTTTAAAGCCCAAAGAAAAAACCCCGACACGAGTAAACAACTAACTAAAAAGACCTCAATACAACCGTAGAGCAGACCTAGATAAACCTAGTGAGCCAGACAAACCTACTCAGGTTTCACCTAAGCGGATCGTCAGGGAAAGGTAGCCAAAGAGGCAAAAGAGAAACAGCATATTTATAGGCGATAAATATGCTGTTTCTCTTTTTCCTCTCTGGCCAGCTTTCCTGACGATCCGCTTAGGTGAAACCTGGGTAGGTTTGTCTGGCTCACTAGGTTTATATATATATATATATATATATATAATTAATATGTTTGGAAGTAAAGTCTAATGATCCGCAGTCCTTTTAAAAGAGCTGTGGTGAAATAATTTATTACATGGAACCTTAAAGTGGTCTGTTTTTATTTAAATTATTTGCTCTGGATTTACATTGAGCTCTCATATATATATATATATATATATATATATATATATATATATATATATATATATATATATATATATATTGTTCAGTTATATTTGTATTTAATTTAATTTTTTAATTTCATTTCAATGCAAAACCCTACATTATTTGGAAAGTTCGAGAAATTAATTTTCAAACTCTTGGGTGATGCGATCATGACGTTAAAAAATTAAAAAAAAAAAGCTGGATAGAGATCACAGAAGGAGAATGAATTGTAAAAGAAAAGAATAATTAAATGAAACACGTAGAAAAGAAAGAAAGATAAAAGAAAAATAATTATTTAAAAGAAAGAAAGATAAAAGAAAGAAAGATAAAAGAAAGAAAGATAAAAGAAAGAAAGATAAAAGAAAGAAAGATAGAAAGAAAGATAGAAAGAAAGAATAGAAAAGAAAAGAATAGAAAAGAATAGAAAAGGAAGAAAGAATAGAAAAGGAAGAAAGAATAGAAAAGGAAGGAAGAATAGAAAAGGAAGAATAGAAAAGAAAGAATAGAAAAGAAAGAATAGAAAAGAAAGAATAGAAAAGAAAGAATAGAAAAGAAAGGAAGAATAGAAAAGAAAGAAAGAATATTTGTAGGAAAACGTGAAAGTAAAAAAAAATGAAATGACAAAGAGAATAAGACTTTTGGAAAGAAAAGGACAGAAAGGAAGGAAGGGAGACAAAATGAATATGTTTTGGAAAAAGGAAAAAGAAGAGAAAAGAGAAAAAAGAAAAGAGAGTAAGACTTTATAAAGAAAGTGTTGAAGCTTGAATAAGCATGGAATAATAATAATACAACACAAAATGTACGTAACAAAATGTATTGAAACAATGAAAAAAGGTACACAATATTTACAGGTAGTTTTGGTATATTCTTGGGAAGACTGTTCCTGCAGAATGGGTTGACTAAGTCGCAGTCGAGCAGAGTCTCTGGATTCGATCTCTTAATCTTCCGTCGTCTTCCGGTACCAACCCATATTTATATGGTCGGTACTCCACTTATGTAAATTAGGTGTATCATACACAACACCCTCCTCCCAAGCCTTGGAATCCCTTTGGATTTCAAATTGGCTTCCTATATGGGTTGATGATTATGGCTATTTCTTTGTAGATCCATTTGCCTAATTTTAATATTTTTTCCGTTTTGGATTCACGTTCAATGGGTCCGTCAACTTCCGTTTCCTACCGGATCTTCTTGGTTCAGGTGTATTCTGTGGAGGTTCTACCTGAAACATATCATACATTATATCAATGGGATCTTCGTCCTCATCCGGTATACACTCTTCTTGCTCTATACCGTAATCTTTTTTAAGTTGGTTTTGGTGCCTTTTATAAGTATTCTTCGGCCCTTTAATGATGTAAATCAGGTCACCGATTCTCTTGTCCACTATGCCTCGGTACTAGTCTTGATAGACTATCCGCATGAATTATCTTTTTGGATGATAGGTGCTTTATGTGAAAATCATAATTGAGAAAAATGGTTCCCCATTTTAACAGACGATTTGCTGTATAAACGGATAACCCTTTCTTTGAACCAAAAATGGTGATCAGTGGTTTATGATCCGTTTCAAGGATAAAATGTCTGCCGTGGATGTACCTGTGAAATTTTTGTATGGCAAAAATGATACTCAGTGCCTCTTTTTCTATCTGAGAGTAACTTCTTTCTCCTGGGAGCAAAGTTCTCGAAGCGTGTGCAATTGGTTTTCTAGAACCATCTGGCATTATGTGTTGAATACACGCTCCTATCCCGTATGAACTAGCGTCACTTGCCACTACAATATCCAGTTTTGGATTGTAATGGGTTAAAAAGAGGTCGGACGTAAGCATTTTCTTTATTTCATCAAAGGCTTTCTGACATTCTACCGTCCATTCCCATGCCTTGTCTTTTTTAGCAGTTCATTCAACGGAGCTCTTAAATTGTACATTCCTTTAATGAACGCTTGATAATAATTTGCAAGCCCTAGAAAACTTTGTAGCATCGCCACATTAGTGGGCGTCGGCATGTCTCTAATCGCAATGGACCTTTCCGGATCTGGACATCTGCCATTTTTGTTGATTATGTGCCCTAAATACTTAATTTCCTCCAAACCAAATTCGCACTTTGACTCTGACTTTAAATCCAAAGTCCTGAATTTTTAAAATACTTGATTGAGATGCTCTCGATGTTCGTCGACCGATTCGCTCCTTACTATGATGTCGTCTAAGTAAGCGCACGCAAAGTCTAAATCATTCAGCATGACGTCCATAGCTTGTTGAAAAAATGGCAGGTGCCACTTTAATACCAAAAGGAAGCCTGTTGTACTTGAATAACCCTCTATGCGTGTTTATCCCTAGTAACTTCGAACATTCCTCTTCGACGGGAATTTGGAGATAGGCATCTGATAAGTCAATTTTGAAAATATAACTCCACCATTTAGCTTGTTAAAAATCTCCTCCGGACTCGGTAACGGGTAATGGTAGTCCTTAATTACCGAGTTCAACCCTGTCGAAAAAATCAACGCAGACTCTGACTTGGTTTGATTTCTTTTTTATGCACACAATCGGCGCAGCCCATGAATTACTTTCTACTTTCGAAATAATTCCCATTTTTCCAACCTATCAAGTTCTTCGTTAATTTTCTCTACACTTGCGAAAGGCACATTACGTTTCTTTTTAAAAATTGGCATAGTATTTTCCTTTAATTCGAATTTGGCTTCAAACTTGTTACATCTTCCAAGACCAGGTGTGAAAGTTTCCGGAAACTTTTTTTTTTAATTCCTCAATAATGTCCTGTCTTGTTTGCGTATTACTTTCTACTTTTCTGCAGAAAGAGTTTAACGGTTTATCCCACAATTCGAATGTTTCAATAAAATCTGTACCCATCAAGTTTTCTCCATTTTTCAGAATGAAAACTTTTTTTTTAACTATCCCGTTCAATTTCATGGGAAGTACAACCTCGCCTTCGAATTTAATTTCCTTTCCAGTCACTGTTCGAGCGCGTTTCGTTGACTTCATTATTGTAGGCCTTTTTAAAATTTTCCATGTTTTATAGTTCATTATTGTTAAATCTGAACCCGAATCGAGTTGAAATTTGATATTCTTTTTTAAATATTTCAGTCGTCACATATTTCCTCAAATCTCTATCTGATTTGATATTTGAATTTGTTTGACTAATTCGGCTATTGACTTTTTTCGACTAACACGACCCTTTGTGACCATTCTTGTGGCACACGAAACATTTTTTTTATTTCTATATGGGCAATTTACCTCCCAATGTCTTTCGTTGCACCGTCTACAATTAAATGGCGGAACCATTTTTTTCCTTCCTCATTCTTTTCATTTAATTTTTTTCTGATGGGTAAGTTTCTTCACTTTTTTAATATAAGCAATACCAGCTTCTTCAATTTTTTGAGACTCTTTCTTTAAACTTACGGCCCGCTGACACTCCTCTGCTAATGCTAACTTTTGCAGGGTAAGGTTTTGTTCAGATTCGAGTTTAGACAAAACTCTACGTCTTATTTCGGCACTTTTACTGGATACCAGACCTTGAGCAAAAATTAAACACTTGAATTCTTCAACCGTAATCTCTGCCAATCTGAAATTGTCACAATGTCTATTCACTATAGATGCATAAGTTAAGTAATCCTGATCGTCGGATTTAGCGACATTCATGCATAACCATCGCTTATGCCAAAGCGACATATTTGCTCCAAACAACTCCTTTTTAGCAATTTCACTGTTTCCGAGAATTCCAATTCATTTGTTCTTCTCGGTAGAATAAAATCTACAAATTTGCTATGTTCTGCTGTACCTAGCTTTCTTAGTAATAGACTGACTTTTCTTGAATTCGACCAGTTTTCACAGTCTGTGTGGAAAATATCTTCATATCGTTTAAAGTACGCTTCAAACGTTTTTCCTTCTGTCTGGCACATAGTTGAAAATTTCCAACGAATTAAATATGATGTTATTAGAATATGAAGAGTTACTTTCATTTGCCTGATTGTTGTTTAATTTCTCCAATGTTAACTTTTGAATTTCCAAAACCTTGACATACATTTCTTCCTGTTCCCTTTGACGTTGCTGACTCAACTCCTCTTGCCTTTCTTGATAATTCTGCTGTGCTAATTGTTGTTCTCTTTAATAAGGCAACCTGTTCACTTTGTTGTTGCAGACTCAACTGCTGGGATTTGAATAATTCAGCTTGACTCAACTGCTGGGCTTTTTTAAACAATTCAGCTATGACTTTGATAATTCCTCCATTTTTAGCTGATAGTGTTCATGCAACAAAGAATATACTTTTTAATTTGTTTATCCACGAATATACTATAAGCAGACAAAAAAAAATTGAAACAACTTACTTTTTTTTTTAATTTTATGTCTTGCTTTATAAAATATTGTTGAGCAACCAAACAAAAAAAATAAAAAATTTTTTTTTTTTTTACAAGTTCGCTTACCTTTCAAAGTCGACACGTGGTATTTGTGCTCCTTTTAATTCCATGCATGTTTTTTTTAGTCGGCCAGCTTCTTTTTTTTTTTTAGTCGTTATTTGTTTACGCCACCTTCCAGATTTTTCTGAGTGAACGTTCCTTTAAGCTTAGTCGTCCTTTAACTAGTTTTAACTGTCCAAACTTCAGAATACTTTTCCGTTCCATTAGATGTTCGACTTTTAATTAATGATTTTTTTTTTCAGCCTGGGTTCTTCCACTTGTCCCAATTATTGAAGGCTATCAATTATTAATTCTTTTTTTTTTCCGAAACGTAAAGTTCTTTACACCTCGTCGCCATTGTTGAAGCTTGAATAAGCATGGAATAATAATAATACAACACAAAATGTACGTAACAAAATGTATTGAAACAATGAAAAAAGGTACACAATATTTACAGGTAGTTTTGGTATATTCTTGGGAAGACTGTTCCTGCAGAATGGGTTGACTAAGTCGCAGTCGGGCAGAGTCTCTGGATTCGATCTCTTAATCTTCCGTCGTCTTCCGGTACCAACCCATATTTATATGGTCGGTACTCCACTTATGTAAATTAGGTGTATCATACACAACAGAAAGAAAGAAAGAAAGAAAGAAAGAAAGAAAGAAAGAATAGAATGATTTAAAAAAATCATAAATTTAAAAAAGAGATGAAAAAGAGGATATATGAAGGAAGGAAAATGATAAAATATTTGGATCATGAAAAAAAAGAAATTAAGAAAAAGAGAATATGTGTTACAACGAAAAAGAAAGAAACAAAGAAAGAAAAATGTGTGTGGAGGGAAGAGGAAAAGAAAGAAAGAAAGAAAGAAAAAGAAAAGAGAAAGAAAGAAAAAGAGAAAGAAAAGAAAAGAAGAATATGTGTAGGAAGACGGAAGAGTAGAAGAAAATAGAACGAAAAAAAGAGAATAAGTCTTTTGGAAAGAAAAGGAAAGAAAGAAAGGAAGGAAGGAAGAAAGAAAGAAAGAAGAATATGTGTAGGAAAAAAGAAAAAAGAGATAAAAAAGAAAAGAGAGTAAAACCCTTGTAAAGAAAGAAAGAAAGAAAGAAAGAAGGACTAAAAATTCGACAGAAAAAGGAAAGAGAAAGAAAAGAAAAGAAGAAAACGTTTGTAGGAAAACGTGAAAGTAAAATAAAATGGAATGACAAAGAGAATAAGACTTTTGGAAAGAAAAGGACAGAAAGGAAGGAAGGGAGACAAAATGAATATGTTTTGGAAAAAGGAAAAAGAAGAGAAAAGAGAAAAAAGAAAAGAGAGTAAGACTTTTGTAAAGAAAGAAAGAAACAAACAAACAAAGAAACAAAGAAAGAAGAATATGTGTAGGAAAAAGGAAAGAGAAAAAAGAGATAAAAAAGAAAAGAGAGGAAAACCCTTGTAAAGAAAGAAAGAAAGAAAGAAAGAAAGATAGAAAGAAAGACAGAAAGAAAGAATAAAAATTCGATAGAAAAAGGAAAGAGAAAGAAAAGAAAAGAAGAATATGTGTAGGAAAACGTGAAAGTAAAATAAAACGGTCTTTTGGAAAGAAAAGGAAAGAAAGGAAGGAAGGGAGAAAAAATGAATATGTCTTGGAAAAAGGAAAGATAAAAGAAAAGAGAAAAAAGAAAAGAGAGTAAGACTTTATAAAGAAAGAAAGAAAGAAAGAAAGAAAGGAAGAAAGGAAGAAAGAAAGAAAGAAAGAAAGGAAGAAAGAAAGAATATGCGTTGAAAAAGGAAACGAAAAAGAAAATAGGTTTTGGAGAAAGAAAGAAAGAAAGAAAGAAAGAAAGAAAGAAAGAATAGAATGATTTAAAAAATAAAGAATTAGTTTTATTTTTGTTTATGGTTTATCAATCATTTATGAGTCACTTAAAACTGAAATATATTTTGAATTATAATTTTTTTTTGCGAATCACAGCAATGATTTTTCCATAATCAACCTAAAGCTGCTGAAAAAGTTGGATTCATGCCTTTCCCAAGCGGATTTATGCGTAAGTGAATGTCTCATAGAAAGAAAGAAAGAAAAAAAGAAAGAAAGAAAGGATGGATGGATGGATGGAATAACGAAAGAAACAAAAAAAGGAAAGAGAAAAGAAGAAAAGAAAGAAAGAAGAAAACAAAGGAAAAAGTCTAAGAAAGAAAGCTAGGACCAATATAAAAAAATTAGAAATATCGCTCCCTCCTCCAATGAAGACTAAAAAAAAGAAAGTATTTTGAAATATTCTTGATCATTTTTTATACTATATTCAAAAAACATTTTTCTTTTTGTCACTTCCTTCCAAAAGTACCATCTTTTGGCTTCTTTTCGTTGTTACTTTCAACGTCTTTCGATTATTCTTATTTTCTGAGCGTGGTTTAGATGTGGCACAAGGCTGGATGAATGGAGCACCCAGTAAGGATGGAAGTAACTTCTCATTTGTAATTGTTTTAGTGATACGAGTTTGCTAACCATGACAGCCTGTCGAGGGAGCGGACCGTCTTCAGATTATGGCTTCACTCCATCTTTTGACTAGACAGAGAAGGAAAAGAAGCGAATAATTAATAAATATGAAACAAATATATGTACAAATAGAAATGCGAAAAAGAGGAAGGAGAACTGAAAGGTAAGATGAAGAAGAAGAAGAAGAAGATGAAAGAAGTAAAAAAAAAGAAGAAAAAATATAAAAAAAATATGTTATAATATGAAGGTAAACAAAAAAAACAAGAAATATGAATTATGAAGAAACGTGAATATAAAGAAGAAGGAGAAGAAGAAAAAGAAGAAGAAATAAAAAAGAGGAACTGAAAGGTAAGACGAAGAAGAAGAAGAAGAAGAAGAAAAAAGAAGAAGAAATAAAAAAGAGGAACTGAAAGGTAAGACGAAGAAGAAGAAGAAGAAGAAGAAAAAAAAAAGAAGAAGAAGAAATAAAGGAGAGGAACTGAAAGGTAAGACGAAGAAGAAGAAGAAGAAGAAATAAAGAAGAGGAACTGAAAAGTAAGACGACGACGACGAAGAAGAAGAAGAAGAAATAAAAAAGAGGAACTGAAAGGTAAGACGACGACGACGAAGAAGAAGAAGAAGGAGAAGAAGAAGAAGAAATAAAAAAGAGGAACTGAAAAGTAAGACGACGACGACGACGACGAAGAAGAAGAAGAAATAAAAAAGAGGAACTGAAAGGTATGACGAAGAAGAAGAAGAAATAAAGAAGAGGAACTGAAAAGTAAGACGACGAAGAAGAAGAAGAAGAAGAAGAAGAAGAAGAAGAAGAAATAAAAAAGAGGAACTGAAAATAAGACGACGACGACGAATAAGAAGAAGAAGAAGAAATAAAAAAGAGGAACTGAAAGGTAAGACGAAGAAGAAGAAGAAGAAGAAGAAGAAGAAGAAGACGACGACGAAGAAGAAGAAGAAGAAATAAAGAAGAGGAACTGAACAGGTAAGACGAAGAAGAAGAAGATGAAAGAAGAAGAAAAAAGTAGAAGAAAAAGAAATAAAAATCTGTAAAAATAAACAAAACAAAAATAAATATAAAATATGTAGAAATGTGAACATGAAAAAGAAGAAATAATACGGAAGAGGAACTGAAAGGCAAGACTAAAAAGAAGAAAATGAAGAGGAAGGAACAACAAAGAAGAGGAAATGAAAGAAGACGACAGAAGAAGACAAAGAAATAGGAAAAATATCTGTAAAAATATGAAAGTAAACAAAAAAAAAAGAAATATAAAATATGAAGAAATGTGAACATAAAGAAGAAGAAGAAGAAGAAGAAGAAGAAGAATGACAACGGAAAGGTGATGGATATCAAGTAGAAACAATGAAAACATGCAAAACGGAGAGAAATCGAAGTAAAGAGACTAAACGGGAAGAAGAAGAAGAAGAAGAAGAAGAAGAAGAAGAAGAAGAAGAAGAAGAAGAAAGCGCTGGAGGTAATATCGGTTCGAGGTGGTTTGCAATAAGGAAAGGCGCGAAAAACCAATTGGACTGGCGCAAAATAGAAGAAAGGCGGCCGATTAATTCGCTGATGGCGATAAAGGGGTTGACGCCAAACTGCGGGCAGGGCGGGAGGGTAAGTCGAAAAGAAAATGTGGCGGGAAAAATAGTAAACGCGCGAAGAGAACAAAGGACTTGGTTCGACAGTTCAAGACGTAAAAGGCAAATTGGATTTTGAAAAAAAAATGGCGAGAATGCGACCAGAAAAAAAGGCAGAGAGAATCAGTGTGAATTGCAATAGATAAAAGGGCATTTACATGAAGAGGGGAGACACGGATATATTTTCGAGTACACGTTGACAGAGGAGATAGATAGATAGATAGATAGATAGATAGATAGATAGAGACAGATAGATAGATAGAAACAGACAGAGATAGATAGATAGATAGATAGATAGATAGATAGATAGATAGATAGATATAAGGAGGTTGAAAATGATAGATAGATAGAAACAGACTGAGATAGATAGATAGACAGAAAGAAAGAAAGAAAGAAAGAAAGAAACAGACTGAGATAGATAGATAGATAGATAGATAGATAGATAGATAGATAGATAGATAGATAAAAAACAGACTGAGATAGATAGATAGAGATAGATAGATAGATAGAAACAGACTGAGATAGATAGATAGAAACAGGCTGAGATAGATAGATAGAAAGAAAGAAACAGACTGAGATAGATAGATAGACAGATAAATAGATAGAAACAGACTGAGATAGATAGATAGATAGATAGATAGATAGATAGATAGATAGATAGATAGAAACAGACTGAGATAGATAGATAGAAACAGACTGAGATAGATAGAAAGAAAGAAACAGACTGAGATAGATAGATAGATAGATAGATAGATAGATAGATAGATAGATAGATAGATATAAGGAGGTTGAAAATGATAGATAGAAACAGACTGAGATAGATAGAAAGAAAGAAAGAAACAGACTGAGATAGATAGATAGATAGATAGATAGATATTAACGACTTAACGATAAGACATTTTTAGGTTTAAAATTCTTTAAATAATTGTCGGATTTTGTCCATTTCATAATGTGTTACGTCATTTTTTTTACATTTGATACGTTATGAGCAGTAGTGAATGTATGTGAAAAATTTATGGAGAATTGTAGTTTAAAGACAGTAAATTCGACCTTGCCAAACGAACGATCCTTTGTGGCCGAGAGGTGAGGCACGTCAGGCTATATGACGGTTCCGTATAGGATAGACGTTCGAATCCTGTCGAAAGACGAATATTTTCTAAGAAAATTTCTCGGACATTCAGGCCGGTAAATGTTATTTAATACTGTTTATTATAAACAGAGCATTTACTTAAATACGTGTATCAATAAAAAGAATGTTAAATTCCTTGCAACTCTTAACAAGTTCCTTCCTTCTGCCATCTCCACCAGATCACGTTCTGTCATTCACTTGCTTAAGACAGATGGTTATGTCCTGCGTATTATTCTATTGTCTTTCTTTCCCTCTATTCGACCCGTGAGTATCAGATTCTCCAGGCCCTCCTTCCTCATTATGTGTCCCAGAAACTTCAGCTGCCTCTTCCTGATGTTAAGTATAAACCTCCTCCTTGTTTGAAACCTCTCTAAGACCTCATCGTTGGTTACACGCTCGGTCTATGATATCCTTAGCATCCTTCTTGTTTACTAATCATCTGAGAATGACGCGTTTTTTCCCTTTTCTATCTTTCCCTCTATTCGACACGTGAGTATCAGATTCTCCAGGCCCTCCTTCCTCATTATGTGTCCCAGAAACTTCAGCTGCCTCTTCCTGATGTTAAGTATAAGCCTCCTCCTTGTTTGAAACCTCTCTAAGACCTCATCGTTGCTTACACGCTCGGTCCATGATATCCTTAGCATCCTTCTTGTTTATTAAACATCTGAGAATGACGCTTTGTTTTCCCTTGTCTCTCTTTCCCTCTATTCGACCCGTGAGTATCAGATTCTCCAGGCCCTCCTTCCTCATTATGTCCCAGAAACTTCAGCTGCCTCTCTCTGATGTTAAGTATAAGCCTCCTCCTTGTTTGGAACCTCTCTAATACCTCATCGTTGCTTACACGCTCGGTCCATGATATCCTTAGCATCCTTCTTGTTTACTAATCATCTGAGAATGACGCGTTGTTTTCCCTTGTCTATATTTCAGGACGTAGGTGGTCATGGCTCTCTACCTCCCTCTATCCCTTGAAGCTCTCAGCAAGTTTCTCCCTGTGCTTCATCTCCCAGATTACATCGACTTGCCAAATCCCGCCAAGTGCGTCACAAGTTGTTTCCCCTTGTTTCTCTTTCTCTCTATTCGACCCGTGAGTATCAGATTCTCCAAGCCCTCCTTTTTCGTTACGTGTCCCCGAAACTTCAGCTGCCTCTTCCTGGTGTTAAGTATAAGCCTCCTCCTTGTTTGAAACCTCTCTAAGACCACATCGTTGCTCATACGTTCGTTACATTATATCCTTAGCATCCTTCTTGTTTACTAATCATCTGAGAATGACGCTTTGTTTTCCCTTGTCTCTCTTTCCCTCTATTCGACCCGTGAGTATCAGATTCTCCAGGGCCTCCTTCCTCATTATGTGTCCCAGAAACTTCAGTTGCCTCTTCCTGGTGTTAAGTATAAGCCTCCTCCTTGTTTGAAACCTCTCTAAGACCACATCGTTGCTCATACGTTCGTTACATTATAACCTTAGCATCCTTCTTGTTTACTAATCATCTGAGAATGACGCTTTGTTTTCCCTTGTCTCTTTCCCTCTATTCGACCCGTGAGTATCAGATTCTCCAGGGCCCCCTTCCTCATTATGTGTCCCAGAAACTTCAGCTGCCTCTTCCTGGTGTTAAGTATAAGCCTCCTCCTTGTTTGAAACCTCTCTAAGACCTCATCGTTGCTCACACGCTCGGTCCATGATATCCTTAGCATCCTTCTTGTTTACTAATCATCTGAGAATGACGCTTTGTTTTCCCTTGTCTCTCTTTCCCTCTATTCAACCCGTGAGTATCAGATTCTCCAGGGCCCCCTTCCTCATTATGTGTCCCAGAAACTTCAGCTGCCTCTTTCTGATGTTAAGTATAAGCCTCCTCCTTGTTTGAAACCTCTCTAAGACCTCATCGTTGCTTACGCGCTCGGTCCATGATATCCTAAGCATCCTTCTGTAGAAACCACATCTCCGTTGCCTCGTCATCTTTGTGGAAATCGTCCAACATTCGTTGCCGTAAATAAGGACAGATATCACGTAACAGATCAGTTTTCTTTTCTTTGTTACCAAAGAAATCCTCCTGTCTCACAATACTCTGCTCAGCTTTTGGAATGTGTCCTTGGCCATCCCTATACGTCTAGGGATCTCAGTGTCGCACTTACCGTCCTCTGTCAAGACGCTTCCCAAATATTTAAACTTCCGCGTCTGCTTGATTCTAATGTCCCCAACCTGCAAATCGCATTTCGGGCACATTCTTTTACTGATGTGTTTCTTCTTCATCTTTGAGGTGACCGTCCAACATTCGCTGTCAGGTTTAAAAAACAGTAAAATCGACCTTGCTACCAGAAAAGCTCCTCTGTGGCTAAATTGGTAAAGCACGTCAGGCAATATGACGGTTCCGTATAGGATACAGGTTCGATTCCTGTCGGAGGACGCATATTTTCTATAACAATTTCTCGGACATTCAGACCGGTAAATGTCGTTAATACTGTTTATTATAAACAGAGCATTTACTTAAATATTTGTATCTATAAAAAGAATGTATGAACATTTGTGATTGTTTTTCTGGATTTTTTTGTTTGAGTTCCTTGCGATTATAAGACCATCCTCCTCTTAGGGGACTAAAAATATCAATAAATAAACAAACAAATTAAGTAAATATATAATAGACAAATTCATAAACTGTGCGAATTCACGCAAAACCACAACGATGCCCCAGAAAATATATATATTGATTGAGATTGAGAATATATATATATATATATATATATATATATATATATATATATATATATATTCTCAATCCAAGCCGCTATCCATTACTCCACCGTGCCTCCTCGAATCCATTACATTCACTTACTTGCTAATACCCTTGGGAAAGGTGTGAATCATCTTCTCCACCCAGCTATGGGTAAATAGTAGATAGATAGGGTTTATAGTTTGAATGGCAACTAGTCTAGGAGAAGTCCTTCTCCTAGACTAGTTGCCATTCAAGGCTATAGAACCCTGAATTCAAAACTTGCAGAGGGACGTTTGTGGCCCTTGGAGCACCAGGTTTCTGTATTCGGTCCTTAAAAAAAGTGTGGATGTTCCTGCACGAAACCTTCCCCAATATAATCAATTCTCATGTGCTGTTGTCGGGCTGACGGTTTCCTGGAAACTGATCTGCTTGACCCTCATACGTCGAATTCGACGGTAGAGTCGAGCATATAGCGAAAGAAGCAAATCAAATGTGGCAGCAATATTCCAAAGTATAAACTAGAAAAACCTTGTCGGCATTAAATAACATAATTTAGAGATTCTTGATAAAATCCAAAGAAGAATCTATCTTACATATTTATAAGTCTACCATTCATCCTTGCTTAAAATATTGCTGCTACATCTGGTCTGGTGCTTCTGCTATATATTTAGAGATTCTTGATAAAATCCAAAGAAGAATCTATCTTACATATTTATAAGTCTACCATTCATCCTTGCTTTGAATTTTGCTGCCACATCTGGTCTGGTGCTTCTGCTATATATTTAGAGATTCTTGATAAAATCCAAAGAAGAATCTATCTTACATATTTATAAGTCTACCATTCATCCTTGCTTTGAATTTTGCTGCCACATCTGGTCTGGTGCTTCTGCTATATATTTAGAGATTCTTGATAAAATCCAAAGAAGTATCTATCTTACAATTTTATTGGTCATGACTTGGAATTTCGTTATCAATCATCATCCTATCTTTATCATTTAGCCTACCTCTGCTTTTTCCTGAAATATTTTTTTATGGCTACATTTCCTATGTTTTACTTATTTTTATCAGATCAAACTTCATTTTTACGTCAAACCATATTTTTATTAGATCGAACCTTATTTTTATTAGATCGAACCTTATTTTTATTATGTCAAACCATATTTTTTACTATATACCAGTGACTGTGTAGACGCTTTGTTTAACTATGTTTGTTTAAACGACCTGCCTTCGCATTTGATAATACTTAAGAAAGCCATATATATATAAATATTGGGTGAAGTGCTACATAAAAAATAAGCCATGCAGTATATTTTGCACCTTTTTTTCCTTTTATAAATGCATGAAATCTTGGTGGACCCAAATGGGATTGTTGCGTTGTTAGAGAATTCCTTCAAAGAAAGCAGAAGAATGCAGGTGTTACGTTAAATATTTTTGTTTGCATCTCGTATATTTGTATAAACATGCACAATATATGTGTATGTTTATGTGTGCTGATACATATATTTGCTGTGCGTATTGTTGTATAAAACACACACACACACACACACACACACACACGTGCACACACACATATATATATATATGCATGTTTGTACATATATGTATATCTATTCTGTGTGTGTGTGAATATATATATATATATATATATATATATATATATATATATATATATATTCGCTTATTTATTTTTTATTATTTTTTAAATGTAGTGTACATAAGTTTTATTTTAAAACTGCGTTAAGAAATCAATTTACCAAAAATTCCTGAAGATACCTGAAATGTTCAAACCCAGTTAGTGGAATCGGCTGATCTGCTAATTATATATATATATATATATATATATATATATATAGAGAGAGAGAGAGAGAGAGAGAAGAGAGAGAGAAAGAGAAAGAGAAAGAGAAAGAGAAAGAGAGAAAGAGAAATAGAAATATGAACCTTAAGAGCCAAGCAAACCTAATTAGGTTTCACCTATACGGATCGTCAGGTTCGACTGCTTTACTCGTTTAGGTTTTTTTTTTCTTTGGACTCTGAGCTTGAATTCTGGACGATTTTCGCCTCAATTTTATGTTCTTAGTTCTTTCTTTTTTCATCCCTTATTTTCCACTGGGCATTGGTTTGTTCAAGTACAAGCCAAAATACCTCAGGTTTTTCCAAACGAGTATATCTAAATCTCTTAATATATATATATATATATATATATATATATATATATATATATATATATATATATATATTAATAGAAATCTTATAAGTATAAGAAACTATACTGCTCGGAAAGCCTTCGGTGTCTTGATTTTACAATAAACAAGCCAATACCAAAGGGGAAGAAAGGTATAAAAAAAAAGAAAGATCTAAGAACACGTACGTTAGCCGAAAATAATCGTCTAGCATGCAAATCCAAAGTCCAAAGAAAAAAACCCTGAAACGACTACGCAAATTAACTAAATAAAGTTACAGTGAGTAGAGCAGACAAATTTAAACCTAGAGAACCAGACAAACCTATCAGGGTTTGATTTGAGCGGATCGTCAGGGAAGGCTGGCTTTCCTGACGATCCGCTTAGTGAAACCTTGTAGGTTCTTCTTCTCTCTAGGTTTATATATATATATATATATATATATATATATATATATATATATATATATATATATGTAACAGATATATAAATTTAACATATATACAAGTAAATTACACAAAATATCTTCAAATACTAAAGAGTAAATTTATTCATTAAAATCACCATTGGCTTCAACCACGCTCTGCAAACGACTTCGGAATCTCTTTAATCTCTTTAATCTCTTCTGGACGGTCTCCTTGTTCAATTGGTAAATGTTGGCATAATACTTGTCTTCAGTTCATCTTTGGTGTTACAAAGAGTTTTTTGTTTTGTTTTTTTCGCTCAACTGCGCCCCACACTTAATAATCCAGGGAGTTGCAGTCTGGAGAGTTAGGTGGCCAGATGTAAGGAGTGATTGTGCGAGATTCATGACTGGGTTCTCCTGCTTGTGTTGTATGGTCCAGAATCCTGTTACAAGACATATCGTCTTCCAGCCGCCACACTCATGACCCAGGGCAGCACTACCTCCTCAAGGTACTTGATGTAGGCGTCTGTGTTGTGTCTGAGGCCCTGTGGGAACATGAATGGCGACATAACATCGCCATCAGTAGTGATCACTTCAAAAACTTTCGTAATCACCATTGGACTCATCCAACTCTTTCCGAATCCTTGGCACTATCCACAGATTGACACCCAAACACTCTGAAATGTTCGTATTGGAGCTTCCGGCGCGAATGCCAAGCAGTACAGCACGCCGTTTCCAATTTACTGGTGGGGTGTATTGCGTCATGGTGCTCTTCTTCTCACAATCGACAAAATCAAAAGGAAATAACGCGCATGCGCAAAATTAAAAATTTATAATGACGGCATTTTACCCATCGCACCCTCTGTGTATGTGTGAGTGTATATATATATATATATATATATATATATATATATATATATATATACACGCACACACACACACACACATACACATGAAGAGAGAGAAAGACTTTCTCCCTTCCTATCTTACGTAGTCGGTTCATATTATAGTGTTCTAAACCATAAGCGCATGGAATCAGGGTAAACCTTCTGTAGGCACGGGGGAGGCCCTAATAGCGGCTGTTAAAGAATATCTGAGGAATATCTTCCATTTTTCCAAAACGGAAAAATGAATCATTCGTCATCTCTTTGGACTAAACACCTGCAAATGAGAATGGATGTCTTCCTGTGGATAGAAAAAATCCCCCCTCTCATTATTCTTTTTCGCCGGCTTTTGATATGAATTCTCCTTAATGTTCGATCCGGAATCTTTTTTGTTGTGTGTGTGTGTGTGTGTGTGTTTGTGTGTGTGTGTGTGTTTGTATACGTGTGTGTATATGTGTGTGTGCATGTGTATGTATGCGTGTGTGTTTTCTTTCCTTTTTTCTTTTTTGTTCTTTTGATATCCGCAAATTGAAAATCAAAGTGAAAGTGAAAGTGAAAGTGAAAGTGAGATTATTGTTCAGAATAAAAAATAATGTAACACTTAAACTCATAAATGTTTACTTTTTAGGTATGCGCTTGTTTTTTTTTGCCAATATGCGAATGCAACGATCGCTGGTGCGGATGTGTCTGTGTTAGACGCGATGAGAGTCGCCTTTTATCTCAATACAATACACGTACAACATCCTGTGGTCGAAGATGCAGCGATTCCTATGTAAACAGTTCCTCATCGCAATATTTGTTGATGGCTGGTCCTTCAAAGGCTACTCCCAATAATGAAAGTGCGCACCACATTAGACTTAGCTCAGCAAATATTTCTATAACCATGTTGAATATCACGAGACAAAAAATTCATTTTCTCTTCATTGTGACACTCTTCAATATTCATTTTAAATTAGTAATTAACATTTTAATGTTTTGTACTGATATTCCGTCAATGAAACCATCAACAGCCAATGACGGTATAAGTTCACTGAATGTGATATGTGATATGAACGTGATATGTGATATGAACGTAAGCGGAGGAAATGAAGTTTGTGGGGATATATATGATGGATAAAGAACGTAAGAGGATGAAAAAGAAGTAAACAAATTGTGAGGATATATAGGATAGATCAAGGTGGAGTAATGGATAGCGGCTCGGATTGAGGAATCGGAGAGCCGAGTTCGAATTCCGCTCAAATGCATTACATTCACTTACCTTGGGAAAGGTATAAATCCTGTTCTCCACCCCCAGCTATGGGTAAATAGTGGGACTGGCCGGGTTTTATAGCCTTGGATGGCACCTGTCTACCGCAGAAAGAAATGACAAAATACTGCATGAAAAAAATCTGCCTCGTCAGTCATGTATTGTATTTCAATACATGAAAGATACATGATCGCTTAAGCGTGTATCACGCGTGTCACATAACTCACTGAAGCGACGAGAATTGAGGAATCGGAGAGCCGAGTTCGAATTCCAGTTGAATCCATTACATTCACTTACTTGCTAATACCCTTGGGAAAGGTATGAATCCTCTTCTTCTCCCCCCCCAGCTATTCGTAAATACCGGGACTGATCGGGTTTTATAGCCTTAGATAGCACCTGTCTACCACAGAAAGAAATGACAAAATACTGCCCTAAAAAATCTACCTCGTCAGTCATGTATCGAAAGATACATGATCGCCTGATCGTGCATCACGCACGATACATAACTGGCTGACTAACCTTGGGAAAGGTATGCATCCTCTTCTTCTCCCCTCCAGCTATGGGTAAATAGCAGGACTGATCGTGTTTTATAGCCTTGAAGGGCAACTGGTTTACCACAGAAAGAAATGAAAACCTACTGCGGGAAAAAAATCTGCCTTGTAAGTCATGTATCGAAAAATACATGATCGCATAAGCGTTTATCTCATATGGCACATAACTGACTGAATAGATATCGGCACGGATTGAGGAATCGGAGAACCGAGTTCGACTTCCAGTGGAATCCATTACATTCATTTACGTGCTAAAACCCTTGGGAAAGGTATGAATCCTCTTCTTCTCCAACCAACTATGGGTAAATAGTAGGGCAGACCAGATTCTATAGACTTGGATGACAACTGGTCTACCGCAGAAAGAAATGGCAACCTACTGCGGGAAAAAATCTGCCTTGTCAGTCATGTATCGAAAGATACATGATCGCTTAAGCGTGTATCATGCATGGCACAAAACAGACTGACTGACCTGCTAATACCCTTGGGAAAGTTATGAATCCTGTTCTTCTGTCTCTCTCTCTCTCTCTGTCTCTATCTCTCTTTCTCTCTCTCTCTGTCTCTCTCTGTCTCTCTCTCTCTATATATATATATATATAAATATATATATATATTAAATATATAGTACTATTAAACATATAGCTGGCAACATTATTTTTACAAAAACGTATAGCTGGCAACATTATTTTTTCAGAAACATTATCTGAGACCTTGCTGTTGGACGTAGTTTTTCGTCATACCCAGGACGCGGATGTAGTTTGTCATAGCCAGGCCGTGGGTAAGATCTGGAAAAAACTAGGAGTTCACTATTTGCCCATAGCTGGGACCCTAACAGGTGCTACCACCCCGGGTCAGGGTGGACCTGGTAACACCAGCAATTAAGAGGTGATTCCACGCTCCTCAAAACCTCCTGATCAGAGACCTTGATGTTGGATGTAGTTTAACGTCATACCCAGGACGAGAAGAATTGACATGAAAACAATGAACAAGCCACATGAACAAATCAAACCCACGTGTAAATGAAAGAACATATCCTCAAAATGTCCACTTTTTACTTCGATCTCTAATGTTCTTTTATCTATCCCACATATCATAACAATCCTCACTTCTTATTTCATCCTCTTACGTCCGTGATACACGCTTAGGCGATCATGTATCTTTCGATACATGACTGACGAAGCAGATTTTTCCCTCAGTAGGTTGACATTTCTTCCTGCGGTAGACCAGTTGTCATATACACACACACACACATATATATATATATATATATATATATATATATATATATATATATATATATATATATCCAAGCTATAACCATTACTCCACCTATATATATATATAAAACCAACAAAATCAATTCTACTGCTTACTCTCATGTTCTCGGGACAATCTTAACCGTACTTAATTATACTGTGTTTTTGTTAAATAATTTGTGGAGACGTGCTTGATGCGGAGGAAGTGTTTGTGCATGAGTTTAATATATATATATTGCTTACAAAACAATGTAATATACCAAGCCACGGTAAAATCACCAGATAACGAAGAAAAAATATACATACGAGTAACTGAAGGACCCTAGAAACAAAGAAACTACGCATACAAAACACCTTTCATATATAGTAAATACGCGAACTACACAATGCTTTTCAGGTATATCTGAGAAAGTAAAAACTAAAAGCAAATCACACCAAAAATATCATGGAAAATAAGGAAAATCATCTATTCAAAACCTGTAAACTTTGCTTAGAGGAAAAATAGCTATAATTACCTTCGCAATCCAAAACAAACTACTAAATAAACGATCAGATCTCATCTGAAAATGCAGACACGAAAACAATTATATTACGTTACTTAATATCCGAAAACTGAAAAGGATAAATAAAAATAAAATAAATTAATCCAAATAAAAGTAAATAATAAACCGAATTAACAAACCGCTACCGCCCCCCACCAAAAAAACCGTTAGAATAGACTAACCACAATGCAATAGACTATCCACAATGCCCCACTGACCCGTATATATAAATAGTCGAGAAAAAAAATCAACACAATGGCCTGGTGATTGCGTTTAGCATGAAACAGACTGTCACCTCTTAGTGTTGACTTCTGGTGTTCATATTTTATATATATATATATATATATATATATATATATATATATATATATATATATAACATAATTTAGGAATCCAAGTACATGAAAGCAAATTAATAAATAATTATGTCGTATATATGACTACTCGCTCATAAAGAACATACATCTCTCAGACCAGAGCTCCATAAGGGCCCATTTGATCAAGTATGACATACCAACCTTGATACGCAACATATTTGTCGAGATAACAAATGCCATACGCATCTTCAGCTGAAAAAAATCTCAAAATAATTGAAGCCGTTTTAATAAACCAAAAACAACATCAATTATATGGCAAATGAGTGCTAGCCGTATTAAAAAAAATTAAGAATATGCCTAGGTTTAAGCAATTTTTCGACTATTTATATTAGGAGTTACACACCATTGTCAATGGCAGAATGAGAATAAATGCAAATGGCCGTCAGAGCTCAGAATAAATGATCATTTGGGTAATTTGTACACCAGTAAGTTAAAAAAAATGAAATCACTTGTCCGCATGCAAGAAAAATACAGTAAAAAAAATCTGAACAAATGTTTCTTGTCAGTAATTTTTTAACCAAACACATATTAGAGAGGGATTGCTTTCCCAAATGCACAAGTCTGCATGTGTGTGAGTGGGTGGGTGTGCGTGTATATGAACCGAGATAGATAAACAGATAAGTATAATCAGCTGAGAGTAAAAGATCAATCTATAGATAGATAGATAGATAGATAGATAGATAGATAGATAGATAGATACTGAAAACAGTGAGATAGATAGATAGATAGATAGATAGATAGATAGATAGATAGATAGATAGATAGATAGTGAAAAGAATGAGATAGATAGATAGATCGATATATAGATAGATAGATAGATACATACATACATACATACATACATACATATTTATGAACTGATAAATAGATAGATAGATACATACATACATACATACATACGTAGGTGTTCATGAATTAATAGATAGATAGATAGATAGATAGATAGATAGATAGATAGATAGATAGATATTTATGAACTGATAGATAGATAGATAGATAGATAGATAGATAGATAGATAGATAGATAGATAGATACGTACGTAGGTGTTCATGAATTGATAGATAGATAGATAGATCGATAGATAGATAGATACTTACGTAGGTGTTCATGAATTGATAGATAGATAGATAGATAGATAGATAGATAGATAGATAGATAGATATGAACAGATTGGGATAGATAGATAGATAGATAGATAGATAGATAGATAGATAGATAGATAGATACGTACGTAGGTGTTCATGAATAGATAGATAGATAGATAGATAGATAGATAGATAGATTTATAGATTTTCTTTTCTTTACTGTGTGACGGATAGGGAATAATGCTCGGCAGGTGGCCATATAACCTGCTGTTTGTTGTGTCGAAATGCAAAGACCACTTAACGATTTCCTGCATCTGGAAAAACAAAGTCGTCGTTCCTTTGAAAATTTCCTGCCATTTTCAGCAGATATTTGTTGCATTATTTTTATTTTTTTTTATTATTTATTTATTTATTTATTTATTTATTTATTTGTGGTTCATTCGATTTCTTTGTTGAAATTAAAGTTGTACTTTTGTTGCCGTCTTGATTTCCTTTTTTGTTAATCTGTTTTCATTCATCATTTTAGGAGAGTTCTTTCTCTCTCTTATTTTTTATTCGCTACCTCTGTCTTCTTGATTTCTTAATATCGGAATTGGCTTTCTGTCTTTTTTTATTTTTCCTTTATTTTTCTTCAACCCGTGGTCGCATCCTTTCTCTGGATTAGTCTGTTTTTTTTTTTTTATTCTCTAAATCTTCCATTTGCTTCTTTCGCTTTGTAATTGTTCCATCTTTCGTCTCTGATCCTTTTAGTAATCCTCCGAATTAGCCTTTCCATATTTGCTCCTCTCAAACTTCCATTCAATATGTCCGTCTCTTTCTGCTTTAATTTTTTTGTCTCTTTCTTCCCCTATCCTTCAACCTAAGTTCCTCTCCTTTCTCTGAAACATCCTCTTTATATTTTTCTTTCTAAATCTTCCATTCAACACGTCTTCCTTTTTCTCTTTCAAATACTTTTCTTATTCTTCTCTTATTCTTTAATCTCCTTGTACGCCCTTTCTCTTGATTATCCTTTTTCTTCTCTAAATCTCCCATACAACAGTCTGCCTCTTTTTCTTTCAAACTGTTTTCTATTTATTCTCTTTTTTTTTCAATCGCTTGGCTCCTCCTCTCTCTTGTTTAGTCTTTCTCTTTATTTTTTCTACACATCTGTTTCTTGCACAACTTTCATTGCTTTTACGCCATTTTTCTCTCATTTTCCAATTTACGACCACGACCGTCTCCTTTTTTTCTTTTTTAGGCTTTTTCCACCATGATCGCGGGTGGTAGCACCTGTTAGGGTCCGAAAAATGGGAAAATAGTTAATCCCAAACCTGAGGTCAAAACACTATGAAAGTGTAAAAATAGGATTTAATACCAGCAATACATTTTTGAAGAAAAATTATTACCAGAAATACATTATTAAAATACGTTTAAAGCAATACATTTAAAAAAAATATCACCACAAATACATTTTTTGAAAAGAATATTAGTAACAATGAAAATCTTGTCACATTAAATAACCCATTGAGGTGTTGATATGCCGTAAAACAAACCAAACCAAACGAATATATACTGAGATAGATAGATAGATAGATAGATAGATAGATAGATAGATATTACTAGCAATAAAAATCTTGTCGGCATTAAATAACCCATTGAGGTTGATAGGCCGTAAAACAAACCAAACCAATATATACCGAGATAGATAGATAGATAGATAGATAGATAGATAGATAGATAGATATTACTAGCAATAAAAATCTTGTCGGCATTAAATAACCCATTGAAGTGTTGATAGGCCGTAAAACAAACCAAACCAATATATACCGAGATAGAGATAGATAGATAGATAGATAGATAGATAGATAGATAGATATTACTAGCAATAAAAATCTTGTCGGCATTAAATAACCCATTGAGGTGTTGATAGGCCGTAAAACAAACCAAACCAATATATACCGAGATAGATAGATAGATAGATAGATAGATAGATAGATAGATAGATATTACTAGCAATAAAAATCTTGTCGGCATTAAATAACCCATTGAGGTTGATATGCCGTAAAACAAACCAAACCAATATATACTGAGATAGATAGATAGATAGATAGATAGATAGATAGATAGATAGATAGATAAAACATATTACCAGCAATAAAAATCTTGTCGGCATTAAATAACCCATTGAGATGTTGATATGCCATAAAATAAACCAAACCAAACCATGATTATTCCATCAGTTCCTCTGTCTCTTTCCATTTTTAGCTGATTTCGCTTCATTGTCTCATTCTTCAATCTACGTTCGTCAACTTTCTTCTCATTAGACATTTCTCTTTTAGCCTCTCTGATTATATTTTTTTTAACCAGTCTGTTTTTTTTACCTTTTTAAAACTATTTTATTTTTCTTGTCACCTTTTCAGTCTGTAGTCGTCTACTTTCTCTGGATTAGTCTTTCTGTTTTATTTTTCTTCTCTAAATGGTCCATTCAACGTCTGCCTCTTTCTTCTTAGAATTGTTTTATCTTCCTCCTCTAATTCTTCAATCTTTTGCTAAGTCCTTTCCCTGAATTAGCCCTTGTCCATTTTTCTTCTCTAAATCGTCCATTCAACACGACTGTTTCTTTCTTCTTGAAATTATTTTATCTTCCTTCTCTTCTTCAATATCCTCTTACGGCCTTTCTCTGGATTTGCCTTTGTCTGTTTTTCTTCTCTAAATAGCCCTTTCAGTGCGTCTGCTTTTTTTTTAAAATTGTTTTATCTTCCTTCTCATATCCTTTAATCTTTCGGTAAGTCCTTTCTCTGAATAATTCCTTGCCTCTTTTTCTTCTCTAGATTACCCATTCAACATGTCTGCCTCTTTCTCCATCAAATGTTTTTTTACTTCTTTGTCTCATACGTCAAGCTATGGCCACCTTTTTCTCTGTATTAACCTTTCTCTGTTTTCTGTATCTTACTTTCAACAAATCTGACGATTTCTGATAAGCCGTTTTCTCTTTATTAACCCATTTTTTTTTCAATTTACAGCAGCGTCCTTTCTCTAGATAAACCTTTCGATTTTTTCTTCTCTGCATCTTAAATTCAACGTCTGTCTCTTCCTCTTTGAAGTAGGTTTCTTGCTTCAAACTATCCTCTTCTTTTCCCTTCAATTTGTTCTCCAATTCTTCCATTCAGTACGTCTGCTTCTTTTTTCTTGAAATTGTTTTATCTTCCTTCTCTTATTCTTCAATGTTTTGGTACGCCATTTCTCTGTCTTAGCCTTTCTATTTTTTCTCTGATTTTCTTTTTTTTTTTATTTTATTCTTTCCTTGAAACCTTGGCCCATTTTCGTTTCGCATTCTTGGACATTCTACTTATTTCTGTTTCATTCTGCCATTCAATACGTTAGGCATTTTCATTTCTTTCATGTTTATTTCTATCTCCTCCCTCTGTTCTCATTTGCCTCCATTTCCCATGTTCTCTCTTTCTTTCTTTCTTTCTTTCTTTCTTTCTTTCTTTCTCATTCTTCTTCTTATCAATTACCATCTTTTATTTCTTCACTTGCTTTTATTTAAATTTCATTCTCTCTTATTCTTCAGTTTCTCAAATCTTATACATTTTTTCCATTTCTATTTTTTTTCTCTTCCTTTTTGTCGGCGTCTTTTATTTATCACCGTATCCTCTTCTATTTCCGTTTTTTTTTTTTACCATTTTCTCCTTGTCTTTGGGAATCCTTCTTCTCAGTTCTTTGTTTTACTTCATTTTCTGTCTAGTTCCACGGTGTTGTCAACCAGAAAAACAAAGACAAAAACAATTTAGACGTCTTTCTCTTGTCGACTTCGTTCATTTTCAGACTATGTCGACCGGAGTGATTAGAAAGGAAAACAGCATTCAAAGCGCCAATGAATTTTATTCACTTTCTTATAGATCGGCTAAGCTAAAAGAACAATCGGATTAAAAGAAGTAGAAAAATAATAGAAAAAAAGAAGATATGGAAAGAGAGAAAAGAGAGTGAGGGAGAAAACGAAGAAAATAAACTTATAAAGATAACAATAGCATAAGAAATGAAGAACAAATTTTTAAATGAAAATAGAGGAAGAAGGAAAAGAAGGAAGAGAGGTAAAAAAATCAAAAGACAATGGAATTAAACGTGAAGGTTAAAACTGCAAATGAAAACGAAAAAGAAAGAAAGAAAGAGAGAAAGAAAGTAATAAAGACAGAAAGAAAGAGCGAAGGAGGGAATGAGGGGGAGGTAGAAAGAGAATAAAAACACGAGGGAAAATAATGGAGAGGTAAAAAAAAGATAGATGTTAAACAATGGAAAGCAGAAAACGAAGAGAGAGACATATAAAATATAAAGAATAAAGCTTTAAATAAAATAGAGGGAGAAAGGTAGGAAGGAGTAAAGAAGAAAGAAAGAAAAGAAGGAAGGAAGAAATGAAGGAATAAAGAAAGGAAGAAAGGAGAGAATAAGGAAGGAATAAGAAAGGAAGGAAGGAAAAAAGGAGAAAGAAAGAAAGGAAACAAGGAGTAAGGAAGGAAGAAAGAAAGTAAGGAAAGAAGGAAGGAAGAAATGAAAGAAAGAAAGAAAGCAGGGAATAAGGAAGAGAGAAAGGAAGGATTAACGAAGAAAGAAAGGAAGGAATGAAGGGAAAAAAGAGAAAGAAAGGAAGAAAGAAAGGAAAGAAGGAGTAAGAAAGGAAGGAAGAAAGAAAATAAGGAAAGAAGGAAGGAAGAAATGAAGGAATGAAGAAAGAAAGAAAGAAATAAAGGAGGGAATAAGAAAGAGAGAAAGGAAGGAATAAGGAAGAAAGAAAAGAAGGAATTAAGGAAAAAGAAAGGAAGGAAGGGGGAAAGTATAGAAATAAGGAAAGAAGAAATTAATGAATGAAGAAAGAAAGAAAGGAAGGAAGGAAGATAGGATGGAAGAAAGGAAGGAATAAGGAAGAAAGAAAGAAGAAAAGAATGAAAAAGGAGATAGAAAGGAAGGAAAAAAGGAAGGAAGGAAGGAAGACAGTAAGGAAAGAAAGGAGGACGAAATGATGTAATGAAAAAAGATGTTAAGAATGGAAAGCAGAAAACGAAGAAGAGAGAGACGTAAAATATATAGAATAAAGGTTTAAATGAAAATAGAGGAAGAAAGGTAGGAAGGAAGGAAAGAGTAAGGAAGAAAGAAAGGAAAGAAGGAGGGAAGAAATGACGGAATAAGGAAGAAAGAAAGGAAGGAATGAAGGAAAAAAGGAGAAAGAAAGGAAGAAAGAAAGGAAGGAAGGAGTAAGGAAGGAAGGAAGAAAGTAAGGAACTAAGGAAGGAAAAAACGAAGGAAGGAAGGAGTAAAGGAGGAAAGAAGAAAGTAAGGAAATAAGGAAGGAAGGAAGAAATGAAGGAATGAAGAAAGTAAGAAAGAAAGAAAGGGGGGAATAAGAAAGAGAGAAAGGAAGGAATAAGGAAGAAAGAAAAGAAAGAAATTAAGAAAAAAGGAGAAAGAAAGAAAGGAAAAAAGAAAGGAAGGAAGGAGTAAGGAAGAAAGGAAGGAAATAAGGAAGGAAGAAATGAAGGAATGAAGTAAGAAAAAAGAAAGGAAGGTAGGATGAAAGAATTGAAGAAAGAAAGAAAGAAAGAAAGAAAGAAAGAAAGAAAGAAAGAAAGAATAAGAATGAGAGAAAGGAAGGAATAAGGAAGAAAGAATGGAAGGAATGAAGGAAAAAGGAGAAAGAAAGGAAGGAGTAAGGAAGGAAGGAAGGGAAGAAGGAAGGAAAGAAAGAAGGAAGGAAGGAAGGGAGGGAGGGAGGAAGGAAGGAAAGAAAGAAGGAAGGAATGAAAGGATGGAATGAAGGAATGAATGAATGAAGGAAGGAAGGTAGGTAGGATGGAAGAAAGGAAGGAATAAGGAAGAAAGGAAGGAAAGAAGGAAGAAAAAAAAGGAAAGGAAGGGAAAAAGGAAGAAGGAAAGAAAGAAAGAAAAGAGGTAAAATAAACCATGAATGAAATAAAACCTGAAGCGCAAAGCTTCAAATTTAAACGAAATAGAAGGAAAGAAAGAAAGAAAGAAAGAGTAAATGAAGGAAGAATAAGGATAAAAACGAAAGAAAGGAGACAATAAAATAAAAAAAAAATAATATAAAAAGAAACATGAAGGCAAATAGAAAAGTGTTTCTTTTTTCTTTTCGTTTTTTCTTTTCTTTTTTGATATTTTTATTGATTATCTAGAATTTGTAGATTATTCAAATCTGAAACATATTTTGAACAGTTAGAATATCCTTGCTAGTTTTTTTTTTTTTTTTTTGCAATTGAATTATTTTTCTTGGCGAAAACAATGATTATCTAGATCCACGTCTTACTATTTAACCCATAGTAGGGAGGAGGAGATAGATTCAGATGTTTCTCATTTACCCGTAAGTGAATTTAATGAGCTCTACTGAAATTTGAACTCGGGTCTTCGATATCTCACTTCGGACCACTAGCCATTACTTCAACGGCTCATCAAAACTAAAATAGTGGAAGAAAAGACTGAAATAGAGGGGGAAAAAAGAAGAAATGGTGGACAATATTACATATTTAGAAAGTAGTTAAGAAAAAATGAATTAAGGACGAATGGAAAAGTAAAGAGAGAGAGAGAGAGTGAGGGATTGTGAGAGAGAGAGAGGGAGTGAGATTGAGAGAGAGAGGGAGTGAGATTGAGAGGGAATGAAAGCGATAGTTAGTAGACTAAAATTTTAAAAAATAATGTCAGAAAAAGAAGAAGGAGAGCAGATCAAACGAAGATATTTTACCTTTCTTAAACAATATATATCTATATATATATATATATATATATATGCTGGACACTCCCGTCGTGTTCATTCAGCGTATGAGGGTCAGCTCAGTTCCTAGGAACCAACAGCCAGACACCAGCAGATATGATTTCATTATAGTGCTGAAAGTTTTGTGCAGAACCAACCACACTTTCTGGAGAGCCGAATACAGAGACCTGGTGCACTACGTGCCATACGGTCCCCAAACGACACTCCGCAGGTTTTGAATTCAGAGTTGTCCTTCTCCTAGACCAGTTGCCATCCAAGACTATAGAATCCAGTCTCTCTTTCTCTCTTTCACTATCTCTCTCTCTCTCTCTCTCTCACACACACACACACACACAAATATATATATATATATATATATATATATATATATATATATATATATATATATAAAGTGGATCTGTTTATGCGTTTTTGTGTATGGTAGAGAAGTGAATTCTGTATGTTTGGGATGCCAGTCTCACATACATAGACACATACATACAGGTGTATTGATATTTTAGTTCGTACAAACACACCTATATAAATAATCTGAAATTAGACGTAGTTACACATCCATGCGTTCGAACATACATATATACGCAATTTCAATTTATATATATATATATATATATATATATATATATATATATATATATATATATATATATATATTTAAAAAGAAAAACAAACCACTTTAAGTTTCCATTATAATAATTTATTTCACCAGAGCCCATTTAAGGGACGCTGGATCATCAGATAACATTTCCCAAAATGAAACGAAAGAGGAAATGAAAGTTCGCACTTAATGGAACTTTAAAGTGGTCTGTTTTTCTTAAAAATATTACCTCTGGATTTACATTGAGCTCTCAGTATTTCATCCTCCTTGGGACTAACCATACAGATTACCAAGTTTTTCATAACTTCATATATATATGTGTGTGTGTGTGTGTGTGTGTGTGTGTGTGTGTGTGTGTGTGTGTGTGTGTGTGTGTAAATTATTTTCAGATACAGTGTATCTAAAGGAACAAATTGAGAACAAAGAGACAAGAGGAAAAATTATTCTTAGCTGTCGCGTTTCGTCACCTGATGGCGTCACTCATAGTAGGGAACGTGTGACGTCGTCCCCTGGTCGCAGCGCCAACTGTGACGTCCTATCCTGGTCTACCACGGCACCAACTGTGACGTCCTCGCCGCGGCGCCAGCTGTTCGGGTCTCGCCGCTCCAAACGTGACGTCCGCCTGTCGCGTCAGTCGTGTTGTCCCGTCATGTGACGACCAACTGGCTTGGTTTCGGTCGCGGCACCCAAATGTGACGTTCTAACCTTTTGGTGATTCGGGTGGGAGTCTGGTTAGATTTGATATCAGCCTCGTCGTTCCCAACTCGCTTCCAACGCCTGGTTACCAAAGTAACTGCATTGATCCCCAGTCTGCCTACCCACGTTGTGAATGGATCTTAGGCAGACGAGATCAAACAGAGATTGGGGCCGTAATGCAAACGGAGTTCAACGGGGGTGATACCACACAAATATGCATAAAAGAAAATAAAATGAAAACTCAAAAGTTCAAGGTATCAAAGAAAAAAAAGAATAACAAACTTTATGTCTAGTTGTTCGATACATAGGACTGCGTCTATCTCCCGACCCGTTCTATGAATTGTGACACGTTGTTTTCCGCTAGGCAGGTTTTAACACTTCAAGTTGTTTGCTCTTTAAGAAATTGTTTTTTCGGTGTGTTTTTCGGGCGAAAGTCGAAAAAACTTATTTTGGTGGTCTGGATCTAAGTCGCTCTTCAAAATAATTGTTCTTGGATTGAAGAGGAGTCCGGAATGTACGTGAATCTTTCAAGTCAGCTATCTCCGAGGCGGAAGTCTCTCGAACCGAACTGGAACTCAACTCGAACTAAAACTTAACTGATTTCTGCTCGCTGCGGCTTCGCTTATATGGACGCCGACCAAAACCGGGGTGGGTTTATCGGCGTCGGGGGTTCCTCGATAATTCTAATTACATATCCACCTCTCTGGTTAGGAATTTCCACTTTTTTCCATTTTTGGTAACCTTTCCTCACTCCCGCTTTCTCACCATACCTCTGAGGGGCTTGAGCTTCCCTCCCCACTTCTTCGTAGCAGCTTCTCATGCCTATCCTCTGGATGGGCGGCCACAGCTTCCTTCGTGCGTCACGTGATCACCACTCGACCAATGATGTCTTAGTCGGGCGTGGGCGAATCAGGAAAAAAAATATCTTGCTTAACTAAAAAAAAATTATCTTTTCTTTTCCTTTTCTTCCTCTTAATCTCAGTTATCATTTTCTCTAGCCGCAAACAGGACAAGACGGTGGTCATAACTCTTGTTCTACACCTGGACTTCGTCAGTACTTATCGGTAATTATCAGAATGGCTGGTCTTTTTAACACGGCCAAACGTCGCCCCGAAAAGAACATTTCTAAGTTTCCATTCATTTCCTTTCGGTACACATTTCTGATAACATAATTTTATTATCGCAGGCTAAAGATGTTCCGTCGAAAGAAATCGGTCAGTGGACACATCGTGTGCGGCTTTTAATTTTTCATATATATCCAAAGCCCTTTGGTCCACCTGTTTTCCGTCACTTATCGAAATAACATTTTCATTTGGATTTTTCTTTGACAAGTCGGCCAGCAGTTTGTTTACGTATTCCAGATAACACAGCTGTCGCCAAAACACACCCGATTCCTTTATCCACTCAGAATTTCCCTGTCATTGTAATGACACTCTTTCGCCATTTGTTACTTATCAAAATATCCTTTAACCATTGTCTCTTAGCCGTGGTGTTCTGCTTATCATCCACGTTTTGGGTCTCGCCTTTTTTTTCCTTCTTTTCTTTTTCTGCCTCGGTAAATGGTGCCACAACGCGTAGGCTTAGAATAATGAATATATATATATATATATATATATATATATATATATATATATATATATAGTAATTCATCGAGTCTAGAAGAATCCTTAACAGAATGCAAAAAAGCACTATACGGCTGTTTCGTTCTTTTTGGTACACCGCAGTAGTGCGTTTCCACTACCAAGAATCGAACCGCAAGCCTTATTCCAATGGATCAACGTAACTCGATAAGGAAGTATAAACAAACTAGACTCAATATATATATATATATATATATATATATATATATATATATATAAAGAATTAATGGATTTTTATGTTTAATCTGACATATATTATTACTTCAAACGATATTTTAATGGCTGCCCGTAGCTAAGCAGAACGCCCCGTTATTAAATAGTTTTTATTTCGTCTACCCCGCTGGGAATTCAAGAAAATTTCTTTTAAGCCAACCATCTTTAAAGCGACCTCTGATTTTGTCCTGTTTACGGACAAATTTTGCTATTTCTTCTATCCATCATAATTCGGTTGATGAGTTTACTTATGTGGCTCATTAGGCATTAATTTGCACCTGGCTTCTTACGCATTCCTAAGAAAATCGATTTACTAAAGTCTAAACCTATGTCATCACTGTCGTATAGTTCATTTATTTATGTAATCTTCTCAATATCGAAATCGTCTAATGTTACTTGCTTCTATATTAAAATCCAATATGGTCGTCTTACATTTTTCCCCTGTTCATCGGGGCCAGCGCATATATCACTTCAGACTTTAATATTTCTCGTCCTTCGATATTTTTATGTATTCATTCCATCTTTAAAGTAATTTTCTTTCCGCATTAGCAGCTTTCCTTCTTTGGAATTTATGCATCCTTCCGTCGTGCTATTTTCTCTTATTCCTATATACGTTTTCCTTGAGTCATTCCTCTTTTGCCTGCTTGCATTTGTTTAGTGTGTCACGCGAATTTCGCAAGTGAGATGAGGCTGCCTTTGTTTAAAATTTACGTTTTAAATCTAGTTTCTATCAACACTGATCTCTGAAAAGATGACAGATTATATCGAGCGTCTAGTTTACTGTGATTTATTTTGTTTACATCCCGATTAATATCCTCATATTTGTTGTTATTGGCACAATGTTTCGGTCGTCGTGCCATCATACATTCATCATGTACTTGTCGATTCTGCGGTTCACGGAACAGGATTTAAGTGAATCAGTCTGGATTTCTTGGTCCGAGGAGTTCTTTGTATTTACTTTATTTAAATTCCGATTACTTTCCTCATGCTTGTTGTCATTAGGAAAAAAAATCGACCTTTGTTCTCTCCGACATCCATCAGGAACTTATCGATTTTAGTCGGACCACGGAATAGGAGCTTCGTGCATCAAATTGGATTGCTGGGATGATGAGCTATTATTATTTTCTTTATTTAAATTCCGATTATTGTCCTCATCTTTGTTATTAGTACAACTTTTCGATCGTTGTGCTCTCCGACATTCATCAGGTTTTTGTCAATTCGGCGGGACACAGAACAAAAGCAGATTGGATTGAATTGAATTTCAGGGATGAGGAGTTATCATTATTTACTTTATTTAAATTTCGATTATTGTCCTCATCTTTGTTGTTATTAGCTAAACTTTTCGGTCGTTGGGTCCTCCGACCTTCATCAGGTATTTGTCAATTCGGCGGGACACAGAACAAAAGCCGATTGGATTAAATTGAATTTCTTGGATGAGGAGTTATTATTATTTAATTTATTTAAATTTTGATTATTGTCCTCATCTTTGTTGTTATTAGCTAAACTTTTCGGTCGTTGGGTCCTCCGACCTTTATCAGGTATTTGCCGATTCGACGGAACACAGAGCAGAAGCCTATTGGATTAAATTGAATATCTGGGATGAGGAGTTATTATTTTTTACTTTATTTATATTCCGCTTATTGTCCTCGTCTTGGCCGTTATTAGGATAATATTTCTCTCGTTATGATCCTGAACTTCGTCAGGAACTTGTCAATCCAATGGACGACCGAATAGGAGTTGATTTTCTAGGATGAGGAATTATTAATATTTGCTTTATTTACAATTCCGATTATTGTTCTCATCTTTGTTGATACCGTCCTGGGTATGCCGATAAACTACATCCGCGTCCTGGGTAAGACGATAAACTGCATCCGCGTCCCAGGTATGACGATAAACTACATCCGCGTCCTGGGTATGACGATAAACTGCATTCGCGTCCTGAGTAAGACAATAAACTAAACCCGCGTCCCGGATATGATGACAAACTACATCCACGGCCTGACTAAGACGATAGACTACATCCGCGTCCTAGGTAAGTCGTTAAACTACATCCGCGTCTTGGGTATGACGATAAACTACGTCCAAAAGCAACGCCTCTGCTCAGGAGATTTTGAGGAGCATGGGACCACCTCTTAATTTTTAGGTCCACCCTGACCCGGGATGAGGTAACACCTGTTAGGGTCACAGATATGGACAAATAGTTAACCCCTAACCTGGGGTCAAAACACTATGAAAGTGTAAAAATATTTCTTAATACCAGAAATACTTCATAAAATTTATTACCAGCAATAAATTTTTTGAAAATACGTTATTACCAGCGATACATTTTAGGCAAAAAATATTATCAATATTTTTAAATAAAATATTACTAACAATACATGTTTGAAAAAAAAAAATATTACCAACAACAAAAATTGTTCGACATTAAATAACCCATTGAGGCGTTGATATGCCGTAAAACAAAAACAAAAAGACTAAAAATCTTTGTTGATATTACGAAAATATTTCGACCTTTTTGACCTACGACTTTTATCAGGTACTTTTCGATCTTAGGGACCACAGAACGGGAACTTGCTGTATCAAATTGTATTTCTGGGACTAGAATTTATTATTATTTACTTCATTTACATTCTGAATATTGTTCCCATGACTGATGTTATTCATACATCTTTTAGTCCGTTTTGCCCTACGACTTTTGTTATGGTCCTGTTCCTTGTACCAACGGTGATAGTCCAAGGTAGAACCAATAAAGAAGAAATCGAACACAGGTATGGAATAACACAGATATATTAGAAACAAGTATATATACATAGAAATAGAAGTGTTAGTACGAACAATCAGGTTTAGTAGAGAGAACAATGTAGTCTCGACCAGTATCACTATTCCAATATCTTGCAGTAATTGTCTGAACGCGACTCTGTTTCGGAATGCCTCTGACTCGACTCTTGACTCGAACTACTGACTCGACTTGAACTACTGACTCACTTGAACTACTGACTCCTTGCCTACTCCTGAGGCGCAGTATTTATTAAGTATGGAATATCCATTATTATTATTATGGGTAAGATCCCATAACAACTTTCATCCCGTACTTTTCGATAAGACGGATCACAGAAAATCAATAAATTGGATTATTGCGATGAGGGGTTATTATTATTATTATTTACTTTATATTCCGATTATTGTCCTCTTTTTTGTTGTTGTTGTTGTTGTTAGGGCAAATATTCGGCCTCCGACATTCCTTAGATACTTGTCGATGCGAATTTCTTGACACAGTAAGATGTTCAATCTTAGGGCAGAGTAATGCAGACTTAGCTTCAGTGAGAACAGGCTAAGCTGTAACTGGGTAAATACAACATGAGAATAATATATCCCTGTACTTGCTAAGATTAACGAGAACAATCGGTTTCCGTTGACTGAATAAAGTGTTCAGTTCGAAATTACTTGCTGGTCTCTTAGTCGGCAGGTACGCTTGAAAGGCCGGTGAGCACGTGATAACAATAGCAAAGATGAGGATATTCGTTAATGAAACAAAAGAAGGAAGAGGTGTAACTGAAATAAAATATGAGTAATGGTAAAGTAAAAAAAAAAACTTGCCTAGGAAATTTCACGCTGTAGAGAATCGTGTCTGATGTACGACAGGTATGAAGTGATGGGTGTCTTTTCATTCAGCGATTGGAGTCTGTAAAACTGGTTGATTCTAGTAGATATGACAATAACATTTATGGTTAAAGAGATTTATTTTTAAGGCAGCAAAAGGTAATAGAAGGTAACAGGTTAAACGACTCCATTCGTAGCAAACTATGATTTAAGAGCATAGGGACAGGGAGCAGTTGTATGGGGTTTTAGCCGACAACCTACTTTGAAAATTTTTAAGGCGAAGGTAGAACAAAAGACACTCACTGTGTTACTGGCCCTGAGAACCTGCTCATATTTATTCTTTTTTATTGGACTGTGATTGGACGGTTCAAAGGTGAACCGCCCCCTTTGAAAGGCAAGGGAGAACTGGGACTGAACCTTAGCAGTAGTTGGAAACGCTACCGCTTAGAGAAGAGGTTCGTTTTTCTCTCTCCCTGCGTTTGCCCATAAGTAAGGATTCATGGGTAACAAAATTGCTGAGGGCAAGTTTCCTCTTCAGAGAAAGTTTTGAGAAGTCCTCTTGAAGAAGCCCCAGAAAAGAAAGTTTGAAAAGAAGTCCGTAAGTGGAGTTTGGAACTAAAGCCGATTCAGAAGAAGACGAAGATGCAAACACGTGCGTTGTCAAAAAGTATTTTTCCACGTGCTCAAGTAAATTTTCATCTTCTAGCGGCCGTAAAAGAAAAGCATAATTTCCCGGCGGACAAGAGGAAAATAAGTGAGGAAAGAAGGGAGTTTGGTCACCAGGAAGAGAACTTTGTCTACACAAGAGAGAAAAGAAAAAAGATAAAAACCTTTGAACCTTGAAAGGACTGAAAGTGTAGTGAAGAGCTAAGGCTCGTCCCCCTTTTTTTCATTGTTATCATTGACATACCAGGCGGGGGGGGGGGCTATTTCTTTTTTTTGTGCATTGTAATTTTTAAGTTTGTTTTCTGCTGTGTTTTTTTTTACATTGTGTTACTCAGAGAATAGGTTATCTTATTCTCAGCAAAAAGGGACGAATTTTTGCAAGAACCCTTATTTAGCTGCTTAGAAATAAATATTTTTTCTTTGCGATTGAATCTGATTTTCATTTTTTTTCTTTCTTTTTCGTTATTAATTCGGGCAAGAGTGAAAATACGGTTGCAGCAGGTTTTATTTTCTGAAAGAAAAGAAAATTTCCGAAACTACTTAAAAAAAGATGATACCTGTTTACCGACAGCATGAAATATTAAGTAAAAAAAAAAGGCCGGGCGATGTCCATGTCCCGTTGAAACACATGAAACTCTAGGAAGGCATCTTTCACTATCCCAATGATTAGGATTTCAGTGTCGCACTTTCTGTTTTCCCAGATATTTAAATTTTTGTACTTGTTTGATTTTGCCATCTCCATTTTGTAATTTGAATGTTAGGTTGTCCCTTTTGCTAACTACCATGCATTCTTTCTTCTTGCAATTGATGGTTAGAAATGGATGGTATATGAAAGTAATCCAAGATGTTTTCTGCGAAAATGGCAATTAATCTGGCTAAGGAATTAGCGGAATAAATAACTGTTTTAACCGAATTATCAAAAACAACGGTAGAAACCGGAATTGCTTTAACAAGTTTATTATCTTTTGGTACAGGGAAACATAATGTAGAATAGAAACTAGGGAAGAGAATTTTTAACCGCGAATTTTTTCAGCAAAAGTTACTGCTCCTCCTGCTACTCCTCTTGATGTAGGAGTAATTTTATGTTATTCATCCGACGGCCGAGTCCAAACTTGTAGGGAAATATTCTCCCTCACGACAAAAACGAATCAGTTTTACATAATCAGATGGTTAGTATTACCATTTTTTGGAAATGTCTAGATTTTCAGCCGATCTGCCCTCCGACCTTCAGGACGTATTTGTGATCCGATCGTATACAGAACAGAAGCCGAGTGGATTAAAATATTGGTTCGTGAATTGGATTAAATATTAATTATAAAGTTCAATTTCAGGGATCTGCAGGATGTTGTAGACTTAAATTGAATGGAAAGAATTTTTCTCTCACTACAGCAATGAGGTTAAGCGATGCAATTTAGGGGCAAACTACAATTAATAATGTACATTTAAGAGCATAGGTAAAGAGAAAGCCTATGTTTTAGCATACAAATTATTTTACTAAAATATACTAGTCTTGGAACAGAATAGATATTAAATGAGGTTACAGCTACATCACGTGGAAACACCGGTTTCCGTACGATCACCGAAGTTAAGCAACATCAAAGCTGGTCAGTACTATGATGGGTGACCACTTAGGTGTTGTAAGCTTGGATGTGTGACAGCTATGGCTTATATCTACATCACGTTGAAACACTGGTTTCCGTACGGTCACCGAAGTTAAGCAACGTCAAAGCTGGTCAGTACTATGATGGGTGACCACTTAGGTGTTGTAAGCTTGGATGTGTGACAGCTATGGCTTATATCTACATCACGTTGTAACACTGGTTTCCGTACGGTCACCGAAGTTAAGCAACGTCAAAGCTGGTCAGTACTATGATGGGTGACCACTTAGGTGTTGTAAGCTTGGATGTGTGACAGCTATGGCTTATATCTACGTGTGTGTATATATATATATATATATATATATATATATATATATACGAGGGTCATTCAAGAAATAAGGTGAATTTTTCGGTATAAGGACTTCTAATACAAATAGAAGCTTACTATTTTTTTTATTTTTCAACGTAGTCTCCCAGCACTGTCACACACTTTTCTCATCTGTGCACAAGCTTCCGTATTCCCTCAGCGTAAAAATCTTTGGACTGATGTCTCAGCCAGTCGCTCAAAACACTTTTTGACATCGTCACTTTTAAACTTCGTGCCTCTCGTGAACGCTTTCAAGGGACCAAACAGGTGAAAGTCTGAAGAGGCAAGGTCTGGGCTGTAAGGGGGATGAGGGAGCAGTTCCCAGCCCAACTCGTTAATGGTCTGCACCGTTTGGGCTGCTGTGTGAGGCCTTGCGTTGTCATGATGCAAAATGACACCTTCTGACTGATGACCCCTGCGTTTGTTCTTTATGTCTTTCTTGACCTGCCTCAGAAGTTCACAGTAGTTGGCACTGGTCATAGTGCTTCCTTTCTCAAGAAATAAAATGGTGATTGGGCCTTGCATATTCCATAAAACGGTGAGCTTCGCCTTCCTCGTGGACCGCTGGGATTTGGACTTCTTCGCTGGAGAGCCTACGTGCTTCCACTCCATGGACTGCCGTTTGGACTCAGGCTCATAGTGCCAAACCCGTGTCTTGTCACATGTGACCACCTTCTTCAGAAACTCATCACCATCCTTCTCATAGCGGGAGAGACACTGCTGGGACGACTCTACCCTCCTCCCCTTTTTTAGCAAGATTAATTCTCGACAAACGTACATATAAGTTTTAGATTAAAATAAAATTCTTTTCATTTAAAATACTATATTTTAGGAATACGTTTTCACAACATCGCCCACGTGACGCCGACGTGATCATATTGAAACGAAACGCTGATCTTGAAAAAATTCAATTGTCTGTTTTGATTAGTCTTATTCTCATGTTCATCGTCTTTCATGTTGAATTAAATATAGTCTAATGTTAATTATGTTTTATGAATATGTCCTGCAGATGGTCTACTAGACCGAAACATCCGACGTTGACATTATATTAACATTAAAACAGCATAATTGCATATTAGGATTTTTGTTTGTTTTTTCCGTATATTTTTCTTCGTACTGTCGGATCTATATCCATATATATTTGCTTACACACACACACACACATATATATATATATATATATATATATATATATAATTTTGTGTAGGACATAGCATTATAATCCTCTCTGAGAACTAAGCATTTGTGTTATTCTTTTTTTTTCCATTCAGCGATTCCGTTCTGTCCGTGAAATATCGGTGTTGCCATAAAATTTCCCTCCCACCACTTCGTTGTAGTGTATAATATTTTGTTGTAGAAAGTTAGAGAGGGCGAAGATCATCTTGAATAAGTTGAAAAATGATCCGGGAATAATATATATAAGTTTGAACTTTATTTCAGTAATTCATACGTTTCCGATCCATTGTTATGATCAATTAATGATGAACATATCATTTTCTTTTATGACCGAATTCATCACATTTCTTTTATTAAGCTTGGCGAATAATTATGCATTCTAATTGCTCAAAAAAGTCTCCAATAATCTTATGAAAACCTCGCAGAATTCCAGTAAGATATCTTTAATCATTTCGTAGATAAAACGTTTCAAATCTTAATCTAACATATAGACAACTTTGCTTTTATATGATTTGGACAATTTTGTTGTTACAGTCGGTATATTTATAAGTCTGCCATTAGCCCGTGTATTGATTATTGCTGCCACATGTGACCTGGTGCTTTTAATATGTACTTATAGATTCTCGACAAAATCCAAAGCAGAATCTGCAACGTTATTAGCTCTAACCTGGCTTATCGGCTTCAGTCACTTTCGCACCGCCGTAACGTAGCTTCTCTTGGTCTCTTCTATGAATATTTTCACCGTTGTTCTGATGAACTTTCATTTTTACTACCTCGATTTCTCGAGTGTAACCGCAGTACTAGATTGGAAGTTAGGTCTCATAATCTCTATGTTGAAACTGCTAGTTCTAACCGTAAGTTCTATTCTAATAGTGTCTTCTCTCTCTCACACTTCTCGCTTGTGTAACTCTGTTCCAGCTTCTCGCTTTCCTGTAAACTACGGTTTGCAGCTATATCACGCCGAAACACCGGTTTTCGTACGCTGGCCGAAGTTAAGCAACATCGAGGTTGGTCAGTATCCCGATGGGTGACCGCTTAGGAATACTAGGTATCATGTATGTGCGTATGGTATAGATGGTCCTTATATTAAATGACGCAAAATATCCTTGCAAAAGATATGAATCCACCCATTCTCAACCCCAGGTATGGGTTAATTAGTAGGATTTGCGTCAGTAAATAATTATTATCTCCAAAACATTCTGACAATCTAAAATATTTTCTGGTTTTAAATAACGTTAAAAAAAAGTTGATAAGCTGTAAAATAGAAATCAATCAAACCTGTAAGCTATGATCTTCAAAAATGTAAATGCAGTGTCAATCGTCACGCACTCTCTCCTTGAATCTTCTTCTGTTCTGTTTATTTCATTGTCAGTCACCGCTTGCGTCTTAGTGGTTCTATTGCCTTGTTTGAAGTGAAATGATTTTATTTTTAAAATCAGAAGTGGCAGGTTTTATCAATGTGCAAGAAAGAAAGAAAAAATCCATTGCACAGAAATTGCTAGCTGATTATGAAGAAAAAAAAATTAAAATGTCTGAAATTTGTTTGAAATTCACGAAAGTGTATTTATATTGATATGGCCCAAAAAGGTAACATGGACGAAGTTCCATAAGTATTTTCGTCCTGGCTAAGACGATAAACTACATCCGCGTTCTGGGTATGACGATAAACTACTTCCGCGTCCTGGGTATGACGATAAACTACATCTGCGTCCTGGGTAAGACGATAAACTACATCCACGTCCTGTGTATGACGATAAACTACATCCGCGTCCTGGGTATGACAATAAACTACATCCGCGACCTGGGAAGACGATAAACTACATCCGCGTCCTGGGTAAGACGATAAACTACATCCGCGACCTGGGAAGACGATAAACTACATCCGCGTCCTGGGTAAGACGATAAACTACATCCGCGTCCTAGGTATGACGATAAACTACATCCGCGACCTGGGAAGACGATAAACTACATACGCGTGCTGGGTAAGACTGTAAACTACATCCGACAGCAAGGCCTCAGATCAAGAGGTTTTGAGGAGGGTGGAGCCACCTATTAATTGCTGGTGTTCCCAGGTCCACCCTGACCCGTGGTGGTAGCACCTGTTAGGGTCCCAGCTATGGGCAAATAGGTAACCGCCAAACTGGGGTCAAAACATTATGAAAGTGTAAAAATAGGTTTTGATATCAGCAATAGTTTTTTTGTAAAAACAATAACAGCAATAAAATTTTGAAGGAAAAATATTACGAGAAATAGATTTCTGGAAAAAATATTGCCAGCATTACACTTTTGGAAAAAAATATTTCCAGCAATACTTTTTTGAAGGAAAAATATTACCAGCAATAAAAATCTTGTCGGCATTAAATAACCCATTGAGGTTGATATGCCGTAAAACAAAACAAAACAAAACAAACCAATATATACTGAGATAGATAGATAGATAGATAGATAGATAGATGACAGAATGAGATAAGTAATTAACAGAATGTGAAAGATAGATAGATAGATAGATAGATAGATAGATAGATAAAAAACATTACCAGCAATAAAAATCTTGTCTGCATTAAATAACCCATTGAGGTTCATATGCCGTAAAACAAAACAAGCCAAACCAATATATACTGAGATAGATAGATAGATAATTAACAGAATATGATAGATAGATAGATAGATAGATAATTAACAGAATTTGATAGATAGATATATAGATAGATAGATAGATAGATAGATAGATAAAAAATATTACCAGCAATAAAATCTTGTCTGCATTAGATAAACCAATGAGATTGATGTACCGTAAAACAAACCAAAACAAACGAAACCATCGAAAAATAAGCAAAAATTTTTTCCAGTTCTTTTTTTTACAAATGTTCCCCCAATACAAAGCCCTAGAGCCACTCAAGTTAGAGGGTTACTGTGTGGAGTTATATTAGCGCAGGAAAGATCAAGCGTTAGGTGTATAAAGTTAAAGTAGAATTTAGAAGTGACCGGAAACCGAATCCTAAACACGAAACAAGGGATAAACCTCTACTCATGTTAAAAAAAAAAAAAAAAACCGGGAGGAATGCGAACCGGATATACCCTCTTAAAAGGTTCATGTCGTCAAATATACCCGTATATCCTTTCCACCCTCTTTCAAATACTGTAGGATTTCTGCATTAATCAACTAGTTATGGAGGACAAATTCCAACCCTTAATAAACTACTTACCGCGAAAATCATAAAAATAAAAACTAGTACAGTACAAAGCATATTGAGGAAAAATTGAATAAACAAACAAGGTAAATGTAGGAATTTTTCTTTCGCAAAATATATATATATATATATGTGTGTGTGTGTGTGTGTGTGTGTGTGTGTGTGTGTGTGTGAGGTCATACACAGAAAAAGTTCATCCGCCAATTTTATCTCAAGAATCTCAATTATTAAGAGAAAATAATGGAGAGTTATTAAAAGTGCTACAACCGTATCTTGCCAAAATATATACTTAGCCCCGGATTTTTTTCAAAAATCTTTCATAAAAGAAGCATTCCTTTACCAAGGCAACATTGATGTCCATATTTTTTTTAATAATTATAAGATGACTAAATCGAAAGATATTTAAAAAGTTCGAGGAACTGTGTGAATCCGATATGCCTTCATAAAATTGAGGTAGCGTCTAATATGCCTGCGTATCATTATTCCGTTTCTAAATACGGTACGATGTTTTATATTAATTAACTAGACCGAGAGGACAAATTCAAGACCTTGTGAAACTAATTCCAACATAAACCTAGAAGCAACAACAAAACCAACAGCTATCTGCAGCAGAAGCAGCAACAGCAGCCACAAAAGTGCGGTTCAAAGTCCAATGAGTGAACGATAAACTACATCCGCGTCCTGGGTATGATGATAAACGACATCCGCGTCCTGGGTATGATGATAAACTACATCTGCGTCTTGGGCAAGACGATATACTACATCCGCGTCCTGGGTAAGAAGATAAACTACACCCGCGTTCGGGGCATGACTATAAAATACATCCGCATCCTGGGTAAGACGATATACTACATCCGCGTCCTGGGTATGAAGATACACTACATCCACGTCCTGGGTATGACAATAAAATACATCTGCGTGCTGGGTAAAACGATAAGCTAAATCCGCGTCCTGGTTATGACAATAAATTACATCTGCGTCCTGGGTAAGACTATATACTACATCCGAGCCCTGGGTATAAAGATAAACTATATCCGCGACCTGGGTAAGACTATAAAATACATCCGCGTCTTGGGCAAGACGATATACTACATCCGCGTCCTGGGTAACATGATAAAGTACATCCGCGTCCGGAGCATGACTATAAATTACATCCGCGTCCTGGTTAAGACGATATAATACATACGTATACTTGGGTATGACGATAAACTACGTCCGCGTCCTGGGTAAGACGATAAACTACGTCCGCGTCCTGGGTAAGACGATAAACTACGTCCAACAGCAAAGCCTCTGGTCAGGGGGTTTTGAGCGGCATGAAACCTGCTCTTAATTGCTGGTGTTCCCAGGTTCACCCTGACCCGAGGTGATAGCACCTGTTAGGGTCCCAGCTATGGGTAAATATTTAACTCTCAAACTCTGATCAAACACTATGAAAGTGTAAAAATAGGATTTAATACCAGCATACATTTTTGTAAACGGTTATTACCAGCAATAAATTTTTGTAGAAAAAAAATTATTACCAGCAAAAGATTTTTGAAAACAAATATTACCAGCCATGCATTTTTGAGGAAAAAGAAATTAGTAGCAATATATTTCTGAAAATAAAACAAATATTATCACCAATAAAAAATATTGTCGGCATTAAATAACCCATTGAGGTTGATATGCCGAAAAAGAAAATGAATCAAACTAAAGAATACATATTCTATTCATACGAAAATAATCTAAAAATCTTGTCGGCATTAAATAACCCATTGAGGTTGATATGCCGTAAAAGAAAATGAATCAAACCAAAGAATACATATTCTATTCATACGAACCTATTCTAAAAATCTTGTCGGCATTAAATAATCCATTGAGGTTGATATGCCGTAAAAGAAAATGAATCAAACCAAAGAATACATTTTCTATTCATACGAACTTATTCTAAAAATCTTGTCGGCATTAAATAACCCATTGAGGTTGATATGCCGTAAAAGAAAATGAATCAAACCAAAGAATGCATATTCTATTCATACGAACCTTTCCTAAAAATCTTGTTGACATTAACAAACCAACCCAAAATGATTGTCGTGTCAATCAGCGAAATAAGGTGAGTTTATCTACTTGCCTTGAAAACCAGAATTTGGAATGATTACCTGGGATTGAACTCTGGCAATGAAGGCAGATATTTATATTTAACGTTCCTCACAATGTACTAGTTTTTATTATTATTATTATTATTATTATTATTATTATTATTATTATTATTAATTTTAAAAAGATTTTTTGAATAAACAAGATCGACCATTTTGGACTATTTTCTTTCTTGTTTATTTCCGCTCAGTTCTCTTCTGCCCGGTTGGTTACACTCGTCACATCATTCGAATTAAATCAGAAAAGGTTATGACGTTTGCGGAGTGACACATTTGCTGTAAGCAAGTTATCCGCCTGTTTTAAAATATGCGGAAGAGGAGACGGTCGTAGACCGCATGTTAGTTAATCACGAAAAACGAAACAAAAAAAAAAAAAAAGGCCCATCTAAAAATAAAAAGAAAAAAAGAAAACATAAATAAAAAGTTGATAAAATCTAGTGAAAGAAATCAGCCCCTAAAATGATATTCTTCTGTCTGGTGTTTTAGCTAATAGGCTTCGTGAGAGTCCTAATTAATATCTGACAAATTTCTGCCAATTTTCTCGAGCGAGGGGATGGCTTTTAGTCGTTTTCTTTTCATTTTCTTTTTTTAATATTTGCAGCCAACCGTATAAGCTGAGTGTATGCGCCATTTTGATTAGACCGAGAGATTAAATAAGCATAGATACCCACAGCTACAGAGGAATGGTTGGGAGAAGCTAACGAAATGGTTGTTACATCATGTTACATCTTGCGTGAGGCGGGCTGAGAGAGGAGAAAGGGGCGGACGAAATGACGAAAAGTGAAAAATTAAAAACATCGGAAGGTGGAAACTAATAAGAATAGACAAGTAAATATATGAGGGCTGAGGATGGTGCGATATATATATATATATATATATATATATATATATATATATATATATATATATATGGATTGCTGGACAGATACAAACAGTTAAATAATAGATATGAACATTTTAATATAGATAGATATAAAGTGATGGATATATATGGAGATGTATAGAGTGAGATAGATAGATAGATAGATAGATAGATAGATAGATAGATAGATAGATAGATATGAAGAAACTGAGATAGATAGATAGATAGATATGAAGAAACTGAGATAGATAGATAGATGAATGATAGATAGATGAATAGATAGATAGATAGATAGATAAAGAAACTGGGATAGATAGATAGATAGATAGATAGATAGATAGATAGATAGATAGATATGAAGAAACTGAGATAGATAGATAGATAGATATGAAGAAACTGAGATAGATAGATAGATAGATAGATAGATAGATAGATAGATAGATAGATAGATAGATAGATAGATATGAAGAAACTGAGATAGATAGATAGATAGATAGATAGATAGATAGATAGATAGATAGATAGATAAAGAAACTGGGATAGATAGATAGATAGATAGATAGATAGATAGATAGATAGATAGATAGATGTGAAAAGACATGCAGACACACACACACACATATATATACATAGTGTGAGAGAGAAAGATATATATATATATATATATATATATATATATATATATATACTCGAATACGAATGGCCAGATATTATATATATATATATATATATATATATATATATATATATATATATATATATTGTTATGGTCCGGTTCCTTGTACCACGGTGATAGTCCAAGGTAGAACCAATAAAGAAGAACTCGAATACGGATATGGAATAACACAGATATATTACAAACAGGAATATATACAGGGAAGTAGAAAGTGTTAGTACGAACAATCAGGTTTAGTAGTAATTGTCTGAACGCGACTCTGTTTCGGACTGCCTCTGACTCGACTGACTGACTAGCTCGCTCGCTCGCTCTGACTGACTGACAGACTCCTGACGGACTTCTCTCCAGACTTCAGATTGCACTGTCTGTTACCCATCTATTAGGATGGCTAGCCAATCCCTATTGCAGACGCTCGCTCAGGCACATTTGTGTTTGTTTAACACCGACAGAGTCAACCTGTTGTTTATATTGCAACCCTGCTGAGCAGACCTTAATTAGAGTTTCTGGGAGAGAGCGTGTTATCTAGCATGATCAACAATCTGAACAAGGCCAGCACACTCAAACTCTCGGTCACGATAACTTGTGACTTCGTGCTAGCACAGCTATCGATGTCTACTCAATTTTATTCACAAGGCTTGGGTCAACCGGTGGTATGGTTTTCAGTCATGTTCAGTGAACATGTGCTCGGTGGGATCTCATGGTCAGAAAGCAGATAGATAGATAGATAGATAGATAGATAGATAGATAGATATGAAGAAACTGAGATAGATAGATAGATAGATATGACGAAACTGAGATAGATAGATATGAAGAAACTGAGATAGATAGATAGATACATACATACATATAAAGAAACTGAGATAGATAGATAGATATGTAGAGAATCAGTAAAAGAGTAAGAAAGATAATAAATAGCAAATATAGTCGCCCCCCGCTCTTTTCTTCCCCCACAACATACGGTACTTTCTGTTCAACCAATATTTCTATGGCCACCTCTCGCTTCCCGTCTGCTCGTATTCTGCCTTTCTATTCCTCATGTCTTCGGACCCCTTCAGGCTTAGATTCGGGAGACCCCCAGGCTATTCAGCGAGCCGTACACAAAGCGCGTGTACACGTGCGTACAAATTAATTACCGCTAATAGATGATGCTACTCTGTACTCCGGCTATCTGTGTCAACTGCAGTGCACACCGTAAACAAGTGAAATGGATACTTATGCTGAATGCACAACACCCCCCTCCACACACCCACACACATATACGCACAGTTATGTATATATATATATATATATATATATATATAGGGAAGAAATCCATTAGTTGAACTGAACTACCATATGTTTTAAAGAATTTATTAACGTTTTATCTTTTGGGAATGATTTTCTATTTTATCTCTCCTTCACCTTCTTGTTGTATCTGGTTGAAAGTTCTCGAGGTTTCTAAATAAATCCAATGTTCTATAAACTGAGAGAAATCCAACGAGACACATGTTTTTCCTGTTTCTTTTTTTCTTTTTTTATTGTTTCACCTAAATAAGGCAATAAAGCCACTAAGATTCAAGGTGGCAGTGGGGTTACTGATTGTTAAAGAATATGAGAAAACAAAGCCCTATTAAGGAGAGAGAGAAAAAAGGACAAACAAATTTCATCTTACTCCCCGAAAATAGATTCCTATTACTGCACACCACGGCAAATGAACTAATCTGAGGAAAAATAGAAATCGATTGCCCCCCTGTAACTACATTGGGTCTAAAACTGACTGAATGGAGAAAGAAAGGAAACTAAAGCGGTTGTTTATATTAATTTGCAAAAAGATGTATCTAACTTTCTTAGTCTGTTCATATCTATCTATCTATCTATCTATCTGTCTATCTATCAAAAATATATTCATATAACTGCACAGCACTGCAAATGAGTTAATCTGATGAAAAAATAGACTGTCATTCCAGTGGGTCTAAAACTGACCGAATGGCGAAAGAAAGGAAACTTAAGCGGTTGTTTCAATTAATTTGCACAAGGCTGTATCAGTCTATTCATATCTATCTATCTATCTATCTATCACAGTTTCTTCCTATCTATCTATCTATCTATCTATCCCAGTTTCTTCCTATCTATCTATCACGATTTGTTCCTATCTATCTATCTATCTATCTATCTATCTATCTATCTATCTATCTATCTATCTATCTATCACAGTTTGTCCCTATCTATCACGGCTTGTTCCTATCTATATATCTATCTATATATCTATCTATCACAGTTTGTTCCTATCTATCTATCTATCTATCTATCTATCTATCTATCTATCTATCTATCACGATTTGTTCCTATCTATCTATCTATCTATCTATCTATCTATCTATCTATCTATCACGATTTGTTCCTATCTATCTATCTATCTATCTATCTATCTATCTATCTATCTATTTTTAGCAATGAATGTCAGTTCATCGTAGACGGAGTTCGATACATAAATCTCTTTGAAATGGATAGAAACACTGATCTAAAATTGATCATATCTCTTTTTCCAATGTCCCCTTGTCGATGCATCAACATGTTTATTAAATTTTGCTCCTGGTCAGCATCGCCTGTCAGTAGGCTAAAACGCGTCCTTTCAACCCGGTAGACTCATCTCTCCCTATCAGGGATCTTATCAAAAAGGGGAGATAAATTCTATTTTTCTTAACATTAAGACGTTTACCAATATATCTCCTAAATTTAGTTTTCAGATACAACACGATTCTGTTAAAAAAAACCCTCTCCTTTTGCTTTCAACCAGGCTGTACGACCGAGGCTAAGGTTTTCCCTGATTATTTTCCATCTTCAAACCCTTCTGCAGTGTCTTCTTGATTTAATATTCAAACTTCAATTGTCACTTGTGCACTTGTCTTTTTCTTTTCTTCAGTCAATTCATCGTATAGAAACTGTAGCAACTAAGCCAATCAGGAAAACCGGAAGTGTTCCCGATGCCACTGTGTCCGGCACTCCCGGAAGTAGGTTCCGCCATATTGGTTGACTACAAATATAAACTAAGTGGACTATGCGTGTTTGGGAATTCGGTAGACGTGTAATGCCGCAAGTTATAACAGAAATCACTTAGGGATCCTATCGTCACTCATCACGACCAAATAACCGCTCCGTCGCAATCAGATTTGAAGTAACCGAGAGTCTTTATACTGGTAGACAGACTCACGTATATTTTCCACCGGATAACCAATATACGTCGGCGACAATGTTGATGAAATCGATCCAGACAAAAGAAGAGCATTCTGAATTGTCAACTCTTGTAAATTGCATTTTAATATACACCCTCGGAAAAAAAAATCTACGCCTGTGATCTCAATCAACTTTGCATTTTAATATACACCCTCGAAAAAAATCTAAGGTTGTGATCTCAATGAACTTTGCATTTTAATATACACCCTCGAAAAAAATCTAAGGTTGTGATCTCAATGAACTTTGCTGCCTGCATCTTTCTCTCTCTCTCTTTCTCTTTCTCTCTCTCTCTCTCTCTCTCTCTCTCTCTTTCTCCTCCACCCTGTATGGTAATTATCTATTTACAGTTTATTGTAATTAAATGTTGTGAGAAATGTGCTATAACTATGAAAATCGTTTTCATTTTCCAGGTACTTTCGATTTTCTTCTGAGATCATCTTCAGGTATACAAGGAGACACACAGGTCCAGAAAGAACAAGGACACACAGCTTTGTATCACTACTTGTACCCCTGAAGATGATCTCGTAAGAAGATCGAAAGTACTTGGACGTGTGTGTGTGTGTGTGTGTGTGTGTGTGTGTGTGTGTGTGTGTGTGTGTGTGATTTGGGAATCAATGTGGATCAAATATGGCCTTGAATGAGACAGAATGATAGGAGAAACGGATATAAATTTAACATGTTTCGCTTTTAAAGTTAGGATGCTTGTCTTCATTGGTAGTTGAATAATTAAGAGAAAGATTTTTAGTTCCAACGAATAATTTATTTCATGGAAATAGTTCGACTAGCTTTTGCCAGCCTTGGTCACACCTTTAATTTGAATAAAACAACGCAAAGAAACTAGAAACGCTTACGAATTCAAACCGAGTTGATGACTTTTACAAAGTAAGAGCATACGCTTTTTTAGTGAAGTTCATGCCTTATTCGTATCAAAGTTAGGTTGCTTGTCTCCATTGGTAGTTGTTGGAAATACAAGTTTTTTCTTTTGTGTTTCGCTTTTAAATACCAGAGCGCATAATCTGGCGCAAACGACAGTTCTTTTTTTTTTCT